AAGAAAATCAAGATAATAAAGAGAAGAACTGACTTGAATCATTAGCAATACCGAGACGATTTTTTGCTTTGAAATACCATGAACAATACCCTTGATTCCTAACCAAGTGATGGTGAACACGAAATATTAAAACCGGCACTGCAAATTTTACCCCCCAAAAAATTAAACTATTTAAATCTTTTGTTCGAAGTCCTAATTTGTACTTGAAAAGCTTATCTGAATGGTTCCCGATTAATTGTATTCTTATGTTCTTGGATAGCTACTTCAATAGATTTAACATGATCTGCACGATGTATTGGGGATTTTGTGAGGTTTGTTTGAAGAAATTATCGCGCGGTTCAATTCAATGTCTATCAGAGTAGAGCCAACAACTTGGATCTATTAACAAGGAGACACAAAGTCTACCCGGCTCACAGCTAGTTGAGATATGCAGTAAAACTTGGTGATAAGACCTGAGAGATCACATTTGTTGCTATCAGTAATGTCAATGTCTACACCATCTCACAAGACAACTTCATATCATGTTTTCTTTTGTGAAAAACATCTTAAAAACTCTCACACTGATTTGACATAAGAAAGCCAAGCCACAACATTTTTCTCCGATGAAAATGATAAAGAAAACCCCAAATAACATGAGTTCAACGTGACAATACCAAGCCTTGCATAACTTGCTCAGTTCATATATGATACTATCAAATAGAATAAAATACTGTTTTTTCTATGACTTTTTATTGTAAAACTAAACCTTTGGGATCTGAGCTAGTATCTAGATCAACAATTTGTATGAAACAAGAACATTATACCATTTTTTCAGGATAAAAAAGGTGGATGGATTTAATGTCTTTTATTTACTAAAACTGAAGAAAAATCAATACATTTATGACGTTCTTATGTAAAATGATCAAAATGGTGTTTTGATGTTCTTGAAAGGCATGATTTAGTCGCAGCACGTCCTTACCATCTGGACCTAACCACATGCCATCGTACTATACTGACACTTGTTCTGCTAGTCATTTGGCTGTGACAGGGTTTCTCTTTCGGGTGTCAAGCTTCAATAATGGTTTTACAAATGATTATTCCATTTCTGTGTATGGCTATCGAACTAATTAAACATAAAGATGGTGTACGATTTCTATTTTATTCTCAAGATGGCTGGTTCGAACTGTCATTCTCCAAAACTGATAACTAAATAATCTTATAAATGTATTCTCAGGGAAAACGTTATTCAAACAGCCACGCTTGACTGTAATTTCAATTCTATTGAAGGCGTATAAAATTGAAGAGCATCAATGAATGTATTTTATATATCACATTTTCCAAATATTGGAATTCTTTTTATATCTATTTTAATGGTTCTACAACTAGCTCAATGCAGGCTTATATTGTGCAATAGCTTCCAAACTAAATTTATTCAATAATAATACTAAAGTTGGATTCAATTTCGTTCAGTTGAGTTTTCACCTTTTGATCTAGTTTTTACGTCTCAAGCTCGTTTGGTACAGCTACATTATCAGCTGAAACCTTAGAAAAAAAACTTGTATGCAATTACACAGCGATTTCGCCTCAATACAGAAACCCCAGCAATGATCTCATTTCCAGAAAAACAATTATCTTTGCATGTAAAAACAATAAAAACGGTTTGAATTTTTCGATTTTTGATGAAGGATATACAGTAGGAAGACAGGAAAGCCTAAGCCAAGATTGATTTGTAAAAAAAACTCGAGTTTAGTAATACTCATTGTTGTTCTATTTCTCTTTTTCAAAATGTTGTCTTCCACAAAAAATCTTTCCATTTTTAATAAAGACAATCGTTGTTGGTATGTCATTGGGGAAAGACGAATCAGCTAATGGGCGCTTGGTTTTCCTTTAAACAATACAATTCTCTTAATCAATCTTTTCTACGTTTTATCAATCATCTGCTTTACATAATTCATTCGTGAAAAAGCTAAATCTAAAATCTAATGCATATATTGCTTTATGTTAATAATCAGTATTGTCACTAAGGGATATTCGTAGAAAAATTGTTGTTAGTGAGTATTCTCAACAAGTGCAAACCGATCGATAGGAACATCAAAGTGTTTCTAGTCATAACATTAGCTAATTTTTATCTTGTGGTAAGAATTGCCATTGAAAATTTCAAAAACCAATTACTTTTACAAAACGATTTAATGGAATAATTTGTGTAATTATCAATTAACGTGTCCACATGAATCGAATTATATACACGTGGATGTCAAACATTCTTGATGGATCTCAACCAAGCTTGGATACACTCTTTGAAACTCTTAGAAAACCCATTGCTGCAATTGAACTAAACATGGCGTTTTTAAGCAAGTCGGTTAACGAGTACTAGTGTGATATTGATGATTGTCATGTGAACACAACGCGTACTACACATCGACACCCTTGTGTTGAACAAATAATAATGATTAATAACAATTATTGATGTACATCAAGCGATATTTCTACCTTTTTTTACATTGAAAAACCTGTTTGGTATTGACAAAAGTCTTGCATTAAGATGTTTTTTTTTTTTTTTTTGCTGGATGAATATTTTAACGGCTAAATTCACACTGGTAGAAATGTGAAGAAAACGAAGGAATTAAAGACAAAGGTTTTATACTATGGATAGCCTTAAGTTAACTATCCATGGAAAGAGGAAGGAGAGGAATCGAAAAGCACTTGAAATTAACCGGAAATCAATGTCACATGATTGTTTCAATATCGCAGTCTAAACTGATTCAATTAACAAAGCAATCTTTGGGTATAAGTGACCTATACCATTTTCCCTCTGGAACAAGCAAAACAGAGATAAATAAGTAAAGATTAGTGCGTAGATTTCAAAAACAGACCATAAACTGAAGTAAAAATGTTTGTATTTCTACATCCAGGAAGTCAATAGATGGTATTCTGATCGTTGAAAAACTAACATTAGATAAACCACCAACGGAAGAGCTGCAAAAGCAACCTCGATACGTACATAGATTGGTGACAGTTTGCCTGTCTATCACGCCTACTAAAACACAACACTGCTAGAAAGAGTGTAAATCTCGTTAGTGATAAACAGGTGAACAAACTCCCAGAACACGACCATGTTTAGGCAGCTGATTTACAGTAGCATTAAAACCATATAGGTTTGTGAGTTACTTTCAAATGTCTTTCTCTATATACGAATAGATAGACATCAAAATGACTTTCTTCTTAGTTTCTTTACAGAATTTGAAATTGTATTATTTGGATAAAAATGAGAATGGCTTCCTTCGTAGACATCAAAAAGGCTTTTTTAATATGACATTGAAGTGGCTTTCTTTAATGACATTGAAATGGCTTCTTTTGCATTGAATTGGTTTTTTACATAGACATTGAAATGACTTTCTTTATAGACATTGAATTGGTCTCTTCAATGAACATTGAAATGGCTTCTTCTTTTTTTCTATACCGCCTCTGATTTGATTGAAAGTAGAAATGAACAAAATTCTTTCTGGACAATATCTTATATATGGCTCACGCGTGGACATCATTACAATTTAGAACACTGTAAACAAGCTGTACAGAATGATGGGATAAATTAGCTCAGTAGAAATATTACATTCACTGGACCCGATAATATGAATTAGGGGGTGTCATAACCTCATGAATATTTCAAACAACTTAAATGGATGCAAGTAAATTAAACTTACAACACTAAAAATAATGGCTGTTCAAATTAATGTTTATCCAAAGACAGATGCACAAAGTCATAATTCCCTTTCTTGATAAAAATAAGTCGATATTTTTGTCGTTGTTTCCTCGTCCCAAAAAGGAATCGCGGTTATTTCTTATAATGCAAATCTCCCATTACATTTCACAAAAGCGCAGAATCATTTTTTATTAATTTTTGACAAGATGTGCGCAAGATTTCAAAACGCCTTTCAATAATTGTTAACGCAAAATGAGTTTTCATTATTATGACAAGATGTAGAAGTTATTCCAATAACAAAAAACGTTTTATTAAGGTACGAGAACTGGCAGAGCGTTCAGATTTTCTAATATTTTTGATATGTGTCGTTTGATGCTCATTTAATTCTTTAAATTCTCAAGAGAATAACAAAGCGCATAGTTTGATTGTTTAAAGTTAATTTTTTATAAAATTTTTACTAAAGATTACTACTTTCTGTGATTCGCGGTATGGTTACGTCCTTACAACTGACGCACCTATTCTCTTTTTCTGTATATTTTTATCCAACTGAAAATATCGCGCTACTTTCCCGCTCTGTGCTTCTCCTTTCCCTTTATTTCTTATCAATCAAGTTTCTGATGTCATTTAAAAGTTCGTGTGATACAAAAATGATTTTCGTTTTTTAGCCTTTTGTTTCCTTTGTTGACACAAGCCGGGTTTTCTTGCTTTTGACGCGAGAAAGCCCTGACAAATTTGACGTCCGCCGTGTTGATTCTGCGAGAGGGGAAGCGGAGAAAATTCTCCCAATGCATTATTGCTCTTGCCGATGTGATTATAGCGTTCTCATTTAGAAAGTAAAGTTATATAATAAGGGTGATCATAAGTGCCATATATTTTTGCGACATTTAAGTGCCATATATTTTTGCGACATTTAAGTTCAAACATGTGTTAGACATTTATTTGTACCTGCACGGGTTAAATTGCGTTTTCTTGCCTAAACAACGATAACCGGGATTTGATTTTATAATAAAATCATAAAACCATCCATTAACGTTTTTGTGTCGTATTTGCACCGTTTTCTATAATTTATGGAACGGTACGAACACGCATTGCGAACAAAGCCGCACTTAGACTTGTCAAACGTCAAATCTCATATGTATATAAGTCCATTTCTCGATAACTATGAGAACATTTGCACCGACTTCCACTCAAGTAAGATTCGACGTTTGACGTTTCTACGCTACTAGATAGCGTAAGAGTGGTTCCCATAAACTTTAGTGTACTTTTCTACGATTCGTGGTTATAAAATCATGTCACTTACCATTTCCGTTTGTTATTCCAGGGTATTTGGTACCAAGTGTAGTGGCTGTAAAAAAACAATACCAGCAAATGAGCTGGTCATGCGTGCCTTGGGCAATGTTTACCATTTACAATGTTTTGTGTGCGCAATGTGTGGACATGTCTTGGAAAAGGGACAGGAATTCGCTCTCAAAGATAATCAATTGTACTGCAAGTTGGACTTTGCAAAGTTACCGAAACCATCAAATCGTAGAAATCGAGTAAATAACGAAAATAATGAGAGCAGTAAAACAATCAGACAACAAGAAAGTAAGTATTTACAGGATTTCCATTAAAGATGTACAGGGTTACTTACTTTCATCCACTTTTCATCTATCCATTTATTTGACCATCTATTCATTTCTTCTCCCATTAATGTATTCATCCTTTCTTCATTGTATTCAATTTATCCACTAATTGATGTCAGTTGACTTTTACACTAAAGAGAAGGGAAAAAGGGATATATTATGGCATAAATAAACCCATGAAATCACTTAAAAATGAAAAAATTGTAATTTATTTGTTGCAGTAAAAAGATGATGCATTTTCGTGAGGTTATTGTAATTCTATTTCTAAAGCACTACGTCCCCAAGCGAGTGAAAAACAATTCAAAAATATAAAACGCCGCCATGACACATTAACATGCTGTTCTTTTAATGTTCAACCATATCAACATTTTATAGAACTACCAACATGAAAGATTCTTGTTGATGTCCAGAAACAGTTTTGATTTGTTAGCAATAATACCGGCGTCATGTTCCTTTAACGCCGAAATGTGTTGATAATATTGTTCATAATGGATGGGAGAATCGCCGAAATCTTTGTAATCATGGATGAATATTGTAAAAAAAAAAACAATTCATTTCTGCTTGTCTCATTTTATTTTGTTTCTAAAAGAAATCTCGCGCTTTTCTATAATCGATGTGTTCCCTTACATGTCATTCTTGATATACAACTACAAAACAACGCATTTTATACAATACATGTACATCTGTGTTGCTGTTTTAGTAATGAGGACAATATAAACAAAGCTCGATATATTTTGATAAAGTACAAAACATAACTCAAAAATATCATATAGACATCGGGAAATGATGAGATGTACTGTGCTGATAATCGATGGAAAAGTGTTCGATAACGAAAACAAGTGTTTAAGCTTTACTTTTGTTGTCATTTTTGCTACTTTGATATCAAGTTAGTTATTTTTTTGGGGGGAACATTGAGTTATTTTAGTATAAACACAATTTCTATGTGAGTAATGGAATTAAATTAGTAACAGTGGTTTATATCTTTTCCACTTTCTTGTGTCAATTATTTAAAGTTTAGAAGGGTTTATATTAAGATCAATATCTACCATGAGGAAACGCCACTCTGATAACGATATATGAAAGATTTACCAGTCCACGTTGACTAAAGTCTAATGATCAAGTGTTCGATAACGATCGACTTTTATTAATAGTAATATCAATAAAATATCACATCGGAGAAATGACCCAATCTACTCGATATACAGCTATTTCAAAAAACGTTGTCGGGGAGAACGGCGAACGGCGATTGTCGAAGGGAGATTGCACGACCGAAAGGGACTTCGGTTACACTGTTTTGATAAACAAAATTTCACTTATTGGATTCACTTTATATAGAAATGGAGACTAAATGGAGCTAATGTTTACCACAGACTATCTTACAGTATAAATCAGTTGTTATTGCCTTTCAACTACCAAAACCCATGACTACTTTCGGTCGTGCAATCGCAGTTCGACCGTTGACATTCGCCATTTTATCCGACAACCTTTTTTGAAATAGCTATATGCAAAACAATTTATACATCAAAGCAATGAGTTCAGCGCACACTAACGCGATGAACGCACAAGTCAGTACGTCTTCAGCCAGACATTAATATTAAATATGTACGATATAACATGTATTGCTAGTATTAATATATAATTTTCTATTATTATCTTCAGATGTTAGTAATAATAGTATCACACCGGATAAAGAAAGTAAAGAAGGAATTAAACATGAAAACACAGACTCGGACGATTCATCAATGCACGAGGATGACGACGATAAAAAAGGACCAAAAAGACCGAGGACAATTTTGACAAGTCAACAAAGAAAAGTTTTTAAATCGGCGTTTGAAATCAGCTCCAAGCCCTGTCGAAAGGTACGTCAAAACCGTTTTATAGTTACACTTGCGTTGCATTTCGTTTTCACTCTGGCGAAAGGTCTGAGAATGCGCAAGAAAAAGGAAATGCTTTGATATCTTACAGATTTTTCTACGAAATAAAGCCGCTTGCGCTTGCGTGGCTACTGAAAACCAGCCTTACTGCAGCTTCTACGACCTGACATAGAAAAATGCGAAAAAAAAGATGAGACCAAAATGCATTGTGGGTCTTTTCAAATCTTTAATCAAACCGCGTCGTTCGCAAAGTAATATTCAAGAAGTCCCTATCAAACAAAATTACAAACTTGTTATTTTAATAATCGCAATTTCTTAAATTAGAAAAAGAGGATTGAATAGAACGAGAAAAGTACGAGGTACAAAGGCGAGTGCTTCTCAATGGGTTCCACAAACGAACATAGCTTCACGGTCATCACTTGATTATCAATAAAATATAAAGAGAGCTGCCATAGTCACTCTAAAAGAGTGAAAATCCCTTTTTAGAACGGTGGTACGATAACCAACAACGCATTTCGGTAATAGAGTGTAATATCTTCAGACTCGAGGCAAACCACGAGTGATATATATAAAAAAATGTTTTTAGGACATTTAACAATAATCCCCTGTGTAGTCAACCGTTGGTACACGTTTCTTTGTCCCGATATCAAACAACACTAATCCAATATTTATCTTGCAAGGCCAATAAATAGCTGCGTGTGATAATCACGAATGATAGCGAAATAGACTTTAATTATTGCCTTTAGAAGTGTTTTCATTGACAAAAGCAAACAACCTTGGGATATATGTACAGAAACCATGTTTGAACAAGAAAGAAAGCGATTAATAATAAGCAATAAATGTCGTTCAATTTGCGTTTAATTGTGATTTTTGTTGAATCTTTCAATCAACCAGACAGGTCAATTGAACTAGAGAGACACACGGGGTTTCATAGTAGCATATGGTGCTAACAATAACAAAAACGTCTGGACACCAAACCCCACAGACGCTTGACATAGTGTCTTGTCACAGTACCTATATGTGGTCATATATACATGGCAACACATGACCGTGACAATAGTGGGATAAACACTGTTAATACCCATGTTATATCGACCCGAGTCTAATGAACAAAGAGACAAAACAATTATAACTGAAGTCCAGTCAAATATCACAACGCTGTACCTATTATATGTCGTTATATGTCTTAAACAACACGTGACTATGACAATAATGGGAATTAAACTATTATAGGCACTAATAAAGACCTTGTTAAATCAACCCGAGTCTAATGAACAATAAAGACAAAACAATTAAAAAGTCAAGTGTTCGTCCGCTACATGTGTTTTCCTTTGAATACACATCTCTTTATGAGGTTTAATATCAACAACTCAGGACGCTTATAAAACAACTTCATATAAATATGAACGAATTGTCAAGATTTCCGTTACCTAAAGCTTCTTATCTTACAAGTAGTCTTATCAAGAATGAGCATCATAGCATCACGCATAGATTCAACAAAAGAGGGAACACAAGGAGCTTTATTCTATAATTTACAAAAGTTCTTTTACCCTTGGTTACAATTACAACAGGGTGCCCTTCCAATAGAAAGTAATTTCTAGTATGAGCTGATTTATACTTAATTTTCAATATATGAGAGTTTAGGTGTGTCTCGATTTAATGCGGTTTGAAAATCAACATTCATGGTTGTTTTGGGTGTGGACATTTGCTCAGGTGAATAACTTAACGAACGTCACTGAGCAAATTTTTACGGTTTGAAAATTAACATTTTTACTTAATGAATTCCCAAAGCGATTTGAGTATTTTATGCGCCAATCTTCTCATCAAATTATTGTTCAATCGTCAGGTACGGGAAGAGCTTTCACGAGAGACTGGTTTGAGTGTCAGAGTCGTCCAAGTCTGGTTTCAGAATCAAAGAGCAAAGGTACAGAAATCAGTAAGTTTCCAACATTTTCTTTCTAATAATACCATATAATAACTACCTAAACAGTTGAAAACTACAAAGAAACAACTAGCAAACAAACAAACAAAAATTAAACACATGTGAATACTTCATAAACAAAGGCTGGGAATGATTGGCAACAGCCATGTTACCAACTGTAACTACAACATCAGAAGAAAAAACGAAATACCAGTGAATGTAAACATACAACTGCAACAACATGGGTACCAGTAACCATATTACTAAACCTAACTAAACAAAACAAAGCATAACAAAGATCTACATGTACTGTTATATACAATGGCCATTTATCAAAACTAAATTCTAAACAACAAAAAGCTGATTTCTAGATATTTAACAACAAAATTAAGAGCTAATCATCTGTTAGTTTGTAAACTGTGTTGGATCCAGTTGTTGGAGCGGGCAGGGGGTGTGCATACCCTTTCTTGTACCCTCTCCAACTGAAGAAAATCCAGGAAACGCCCATATAAACAAAAATATATAAAGACGATTTTAATCCTTCATTTCCTCATGGCTTCCAGTGTGTAAAACACAAGTTAACAGATGTCTCATTTCTTAGATTAAAAAGTTAGCAAGAAGAAATAATCCCGATTCTGATGGCACCAGTAGCTGTCGAGTCAGCAACCGACAAAGGACTTTAAAAAAGTCTAAAGACGGCAAAGGTAATTCTTGTCAAGACACAACTAATGGAAAGAGTTTTTGAGGAAAAATGTTTTAAAGTACCATGCGAGCAGAGTGTATTTCCTTACCTCAATTTTATTGAGGTAAGGAAATACACTCTGCTCGCAGGGTAGTTTTAAAGCTATCATGAAAGAATTATTTTGAGTATATGATAAGCGTACTCCAAAGAACTGACTTAAGTCAATTAATTTTTCCTGAAAACAGGATCCAGTCCCAGAGATAAGCGACGAGGAGACAGAGACCTTCTTGATCTTCCACCTTCACTCTCGCCGTCCCATATACCAGTCTCCCATTCACCATATGGGATGTTACAACCTCAATATCAACAAAATATGCCTAACCACATGGGTACAATGATGCCGCCTGGCTTCTCATATCAACCCCCATTAAATCATATGGACTCTACTGACATGCAAGTTGACCAAAGGACGACAATGCAAGGGGGGATGGACGACTGTATGATGCCTCAGCATTATCCAACAGATATGACAGGATACCCCACTACGAACCACAATGGTCAGAATCATCTAGAGCTAATGCATGACATGATCAACTCATTTTAGCTATTAAAATAATATTAGTACAGCCGTGACCTAATAGGCAATTATTGCATGCTACATATTCATTCCACTCTCTCAGTGCACAAGAAGCTAGAGCAGTTGTACCATGAAATACAAGACAAAATATCAATGAATAGTACTATTGTGGCACTTGTTTGACCCAAAAAAAACTATAACAACAAAAATAGCAGACATACTGAACATAATGAGCATTTAGTATGAACCGATTGACAGTAGAGCCAGAAAGTGTTTAGACATATTGATCCTGGTATATTTATTAATTATATTATGAAATTTTACCAATATAAATCTTAGCAACAAAATACTATTTGTTAATATTAGAATTTATTGTAATTCATGGTTCAAATAGCTCACTAAGCACTCAGGGCAAGCACAGCAATGAATTATGGGCTGCAGCAATTGAGTGTCTTTCACTGACAGCCTTTTGGAAATGGCAGTAAAATGTTATCTGTGTCAAAGAAGTATACTTAGCTTTATCTGCTCGAAATATCCGATGATATTTTAAAGAACACTCCATAACCTTTAAAAATGCCAACAGTGTTTTTTCATTTTACATATTCATTAGCTAATACTTCTAAATTAACAAAACCACCATTCTTTGGGATATATATCGAATGTGATAATGCTAAAGTCATTGCCTTTTCTTTAACGTTTAACTGTACTCTTATCATTTTATCCAACACTTATGGACATAATATTCACATTCAGTCTTTCTATAAAACCATTAAGCTATTTTGCACTTACAGCTTTATCATGGCATAATTAATTCAACATACAAAATTTGTGCTCAATCTTTTTTTTTAAATCACCATTATAATTTACACTTTTAAAATCAACATGCGTGTTTGGACTAGCAAAAAAAAAGTTAATTGCTATTTTCAACCTTTCATCTTAGGGCTTTAACAGACAAAGACAAACCAAGTACAGGCTGACTTCTGTGAAGGGTTGACAATTAGCAAGAAGGCTTAAACACATGGTTGCTTAATTATAGGATTAAAGTTACAATTAAAGTTTTATTTCAATTATTGCCCTTAGCAAAACAAAATTTCCAATGCAAAGAACTTTGCTTAAGACATAAATAGAACTTTTTATATGATGAAATCACTCTTAATTGTTGGAAATCAACTTGTTATAAACTTCATGAATACAAAGCAAAATACCATAAATAACCATGGATTGACTGTGTGGATCAAGGTGCAGCTTGGATTGCATTTTTAGTTTTCAATTAAAATCTATATCTATAGACATTATTGATATTTTTGGTATCATTATATCACCCATTTCAGCTTAAGCTAAGTATACTTCTACGATCATATTAACAGTCAGATATATCATTAATGTATAATATAATTATATAGGTGTAATATATGTGTACAATACAAATAGACTCTTTTACTTTTGAACACAGTCATTTAATAAGCAACATTTAAAAGCCAAAATCACTCGGAAAGCAGCTAGCTGTTATCACTATTTAATCATGAGCTTGTTGTTGTTGCTATTGCATGGAATAACCATAGACTGAATCACTGAAAACCTGAACTCAACATCTCATAACAGCAAGTATAAGTATGGAAAACAAATCAAGCTTCTTTGCTAAAATGTGTTCAAATCACAATCCCCCAAAATTGAATGACTAGAAATACATCAGTAGTGCAATTTATAATTTAATATGAGCTATGACAGAATATTAGCTTTATTATATAATAAACATCCTCAAAGGGCAATCTTATAAGATAAAATATTAGAAAAACAGAATCACTTTTTGTGTGATAGAAAACTGTGCATACTTAGTCTAATAGAAGACTTTCAAAAATGGTACCAATATGTCAGTTGCTGACTGGGGGAGGAATACAAGACAAAAACAGTTCTCAAAGGAAAGTCTTTGTTTGTACCATACATCTCTCAAACTTTGACCTTACCTCACATGATTTTCACAGTGTTTGTCTCAATGTGACTTTGAGGCCTTTTTTCCATATTTCATCATTAGTTCCCTGACTAGCAGCAGTGACCTATGCCATTTTAAAAAGTCGTCAATGGCAATAAGCAATTTAAATGTTTGAATATAGAGATATTGTATTAAACAGATAGTTTCCCATTCAAACCAAAACATCTCTAGTATGACTGACATGTTTTCTAACTTACTCAGCTAAAGGTGTTTTCTTTAGAAAGATGCCAAGAACTGTTTTTTTTTCTACTTTCTTTGAAAAAAGGAAACCTGTGTGATCAAGTGTGGTAAATTTTAAAATGAGATTTTTACTATACAAACCTGTAAATAATCACATCAAAATATTTCAGTGTCTTATTTGAATTCAGTAGAATTCCCATACAACAAAATATAATTGTAAAACAAATTTTAAGTTATGAAATTATCAGTCAAAAGTAATAAAATACATGCTTCACAAATGATTTGGGTGAACACTATATTATATATATCTAGTACATGTAAGCTTAACTACTTACATGTGGATACAACTGGGATAGATTGTAAAAGGGCAGGAGAACTGTAATTTTTTTATATTTGTGTGGTAAAAATGCCATGTTAGTCATATTGGGACTGTTCGTCAATCATGGCCAAGAGGGGGCGGTGTTTAGGCAGGAGGAGGGGTTGTAAGCTTATATCTTTCACAACAGACTATTAATATTTGTAAATAAGATTAAGGGGAACTACATTTTCTTTGGTAAAATAATTTGTAGATGGTGCAATTTTTGCCAAAGAACCATAATGGGCGGAACGGTTTTTAATATTTCTTATTTTGGGTGGCAACATCTCTGAATTCTGCTTTAATACGAATTAAACCGTCCCATTTTGACAATAATACACAAACAGTTCCTATAAAACATGCATAAAGACTAGCTTGCAGCGAAAGATTTAGCAAAGAAAGGAGGATAAAAAAGGGATATGTTAGGTCAACAGAAAGTTGGGGTAAGTTAATGTGGACGTATATAAAAGATATCCAAAGCGAAGTGAAATTAATCATGGGTTAATTAAAGTTCAACATCCTTCAACTGATTCAAAATGTCCCATAGCAAGTTCAAATAACCAATATTCCAGCCGTTTTAGGATCTAAGTTAATTATTAAGATCAGATGACCTAGTTTTGCTGTTAAAATTCATACCTTTACGTCGATGTAAGATTAAATTCACTAAGAGCCGATTTCACTTCTTGTCGCCGCCATGTTGGGTGTCAGAAGCACACCAATGCCGCACAGTATTGGCGGGAAATGGCGCACCACAGGAACCCCGAAATTCAAAAATGCTATCACAAGTTAAAACTATAAAAAATACAACCCTATACTAATAAAGAATGAAGCTGTTTCTCTACCACTTTTTATTAATTCAATTAAGTCAAGTCAATATGATATAGTTGATTTTGCATAATCCCATCTTGATTAGATTCAACAAAAGATTGCATTCCATATGTCTGTAAAATAAAACATAAATAGTTACTGACTACTGAGACCCTATCACTTAACAAGATCAAGTAATTTAGAAGGAAACAAAGAAAACAATATAATATTCCCTTAAAAGAACTATTATTGATAAGCCATTAAGTCCATATTTATGCGCCATGAGATAGATTACAGGTAACAACTACATTTTATTCATAGACATATGAAATGCACTCTATAATATTTGAACAAATACAAATCTAATTTATAATAATGCAAAATCTGTATTAACTCTTTTTGGTTAGATATATTACATCTACATAGATAAYGGGCTGAAACATTCTCCTATGAGAATAAGAATAGCCAAATAATAATAAATATATCTCCTGTCAAGGTCGAAAGCAAACACGGAGCAAATGGTTTTGTATTTAATGTGTTGGTTTATAGATTACAAACACATCTTGGATATCAAAATGAAACTAAATTGGACAAGCCAAATTGTGTTTGAGCGCTAATAGTGAATGACTCAGCTTCAATGAATTGGTTTGTTTCAGCATGGAGTTTGAACTCCACGAAGAAGTCTTTCAACATTACATGATCTCTTTTCAAAGAATGCCTGAGAATGCAGCATTTTTATTGCAGTGTCAATAGTTTTGGTCTATATGGAGCAACAACCACAATTTTGATTGGAAGTCAAAACAGTTTTTTAACTAATGGTAGTGCTATTTTAAAGGCCCAGTGTGCACCATTATGCTTTGGGGGCTGTGAGGGCTGGAGGCAGCCATTTTCAGTTTACAGAAAATCTATAAATTGTATTGTGCATTTCGAATCTCTGACCATCTCACTTTTCTAAGCACTTTAAATGCTAATATTAGATTTTTCAACCGTCTGACATTTGTTTAATGGTGATACTAAGTATTTGGGTACTAGAAGTATTTTGGTGTAAATCATAATCATAATGGTGCAAACTGGGCCTTTGAAAGTCACTGTAAAAATTATGATAATTATAGTGACTCTTTGAAATCTAATTTAAATGAACATTTATAATATATGCCAGCGCAATGTTTTTTTTAGATTCCTGGTTATGATCTAAAATTTACTTTCTTGATTTTGCTCTGATAAAGTTTTCCTCCCTTCACCTGAAAATCATAAAGAGAACAATTCAAATATACACAACACAAGATCATCATACAGACTACTACTCCTTCTTTATCATGATACATCACATACATCATCATCATGACCATCTTCTTTGCCATCCTTATCATCATCATCATCATCACCTTCATCATCATCATATTTATCATAGCCACTGTCTTACCTTGTCTTACCTCTCTCAGGGATTAATCTTGATAAGAAATTTATTGGCAATGGGAACAAGATTGTAGAACTCTTCTCTGCAGAGATGGTAGTCAGTGTTTGTAGGTAGCGCAGTTGGATTGCTTGAGGGTTCTCAGCAATAATGTCTGCAGCTTCTTTGAGAGAACGGGAAGCATTCATTTCACCATCAGCAGCAATGACCTAAAAAATAGATTTAAAAGAAAGAGATAATTAAAAATTGTGTGCATATAATTTGGGAATGAATTATACTAAATTATCAGCTGTCAATCAAACTGTCCTATTTGCTTGCTTAATTTTGCTGACCCAGCTGTAATTCAGATTATTTCTGCAAGAGATGTCAATTAAACGAGTCTATCCTATCCTGTCTATCAAAAACCTTAATTATTCAGGATGCTTGTAAGAAGGTAAGGAAACCAGGACAAAGCATTGGGTGTCAGTTGAATATCAGTTCATTGACATACCTTAGCTCTGGCCTCACGAGTGGCCTCTGCTTCTGCTGCCATAGCTCTCTGCAGCTGTTGTGGCAGACGAACATCTTTACTGAATTTAACAAAAACATCAACAAAACATGAATAGAATGAAATACTAGTTCTTTGTTTGCTAAAACACAGTTAATGGATTCCAGTCTGCACATTTGAATCTCTAATGATGACAGGAGTAGATTGAAATAGAAATCATTTAGTCAACTGTCAATGTTTGGATAGCCATATAGCTCTTTTAATGAACTTACACTTCAACTCTCTCCACTTTGACTCCCCATGGGTCAGTTGCCTCATCAAGAGATGTCTATAAAAACATATGTATCATTAAATGTAGATGTCTGAATTACAAAGCTAACACAACTGAAATATTAAAATGTGACACAAGTTACATATCAGAACTTAATTATGCTTTAAACAGAGAACAGTCTTTTTTGTCCTCATGAAACATGAAAACTGACTTGCCTGCATGATATGACTGATGTTGTCTCTCTCTGATAAAATCTCACTTAAACTCTTTGTACCCAAGACATTCCTGAGTGTTGTTTGAGCAAGAAGACGTGTGGAGCGATTGGCATCTGCAACATTTGTGATGGAAATAGTAGCGTTGTAGATTCTAAAGTAGACCACAGCATCAACAGCAACGGTTACACTGTCCTTAGTTAGAATCTGCAAATAACAATAAAATACATGTAATATTCTATGATACATCTGCATAAATCATAAATACAGCTTGATGTATTTTGTATTAACAATAGTTTGTTACTAATTATAGGAATAATAACTCTATTAGAGCAAATAGATAGCCTGCAGTTTTTTTACCTCTTGTGGAGGGACATCAAAGGACACAACCCTGAGGTCAACTTTCCTGTAGGTGTCAATGCAGGGAAGAATGAAGAATATACCTATAAACAACATCAACAGTCTAAGATTAATTGTCATACACTACAACTGCAACTACCAAATTGTTAGACAATACAATGTATAAAGGGATACAAATCAGAATAAACGTAAAAATGTTCAGTTTGTTGTAGCTAAATTAACCCTACCTGGACCCTTTGCACCACCAGGAAGAAGCCTTCCAAGCCTGAAGATAACAGCTCTTTCATACTCTTGAACAATCTAGAATAACAAACAATGACGATGATTACAACAATGTTATCTAGTATACAAGATATTGTTTCTATTTCCTTCCCTTAGCTTAGTCAGAGTAATCATAAAATAATATATTGATTAATATATTGTTTAAGTTCTTTTGATTGAACATTGTATTCTACTATGCTGCTCGAGGACAACTTCCAACAACTACATATATATGTTTAGGATATTAACATTGCTATTGCTCAGTCTCAACCATACTTGATTAGATTGATAGATATGGGTAAATTAATGTCAATCAGTCTTGTTGTGTAGGGTTAGTGGCTGAGCAACCTCATAATGGATGAAAAATACTTTAAATCACTACTCATTGTGAACTGTTAAATAGGAATAAATATCTAAATATCTAATATTGAAATATAATAATTACCTTCAAACAAAAGAAAATACTCAAAGGGCAAGTAATAATAAACAACAAGAAAGACAAGATGGTCACTAAGTAATAACAGATTCCTCGTTCTGTAGACTTCGATCCATCTGAGAAAAGAAATTCATAATATCAGTATAATATTTAATGATATTAATTAATAGCACAACGTTTTTCGCTTTAAACAAGACATTGCCTTTTGGCTTATTATAAAGTCATCTTAATCAATATGAGATCAAAATTTCAGGCCCTTTTACTGAGTTTGTGAATAAAGGAACAGTTTGATTTACATACAATTAATATGGTGTGAACTAGCCTTAAACTAGTGTGAGCTAAGTCTCTGTGTTTCTAGAGAAACAGTTGTATAAAAAGATAAAACACCCTCCCTAAAATAACTTACTGAAGTTCTGGACATTAATCCTTCGTCTGGGTAAAGAGGATTAACGCCTGAAACGTTAGTAAGTTATTTCACCTACTTTTTTACGGTGTTAAAATTTATCTTTTTATTAATATGGGGACAATTCAATTCAATTCAATTTATTGCTATTTTATATATATTTACAATTGCACATGATTCCATTGGCCTACAAATAGAAAAAAACTAATTGAGGTAGGCCAATGGATTACAGTTCATATTAGAAAAATGTTTAGAGAAAATAATTGAGCATTGAATAGATTACAATAGAACTGGATAGAAATTTCGGTAACAGTTAATGGATAAATACTGGTGAAAAGATTGAGTATTCAGTAGTGTTGAAAATATGAAGAATAATGTTGAATCCAAAACAATAATTAGAAAATTGTAAGTACTAAAACAGAAAGAAGAAGAAGATAGGGAAGGATGAAAAACAAAAGCATAAGATGGAAAGATCTTTATAATTATATCTTTTCTGTCTTTTATTGGAGAGCATATAAAAATATCCTTAACTTACAAAGAAAAATCATTCTCAAAAACAAAATTGCTTCCGAACCCTTTTAGTGGATAAAAATCAACAATGTACCGATGAATTAATGGAATATTTCCACCCAAATTAAATTCAGCTCAAACAGCTGGACTGGAATCAAACGCTTTCTTCCTTTTTAGAAAAAAGCATCAAAAAACATGACATCATAACAATGATATATCCTTAAAAGTAAGCTCATTTTATAATTAGGAACAACTTCTGAATAATTCACATTCATTTTGGGAAATAACCTGAATGCAGCTACACAAAAATTCACATTAATAAATCATCTAAGCTGGTAACAGCCACATCTCCCACACAAAAAAAATAAAAAAATAGATGAAATTAAGAAAAAGGAAGAGAGAGAGGGAGTAAATAAATGTAAATCCCTAATCAAGGAAAAAGTCATGTTCATGCTAATTTCCATATTCTTGTAGAGTTTGTTTCTTAATGGAAAGGCAATATTTTGAAAACTTGATAAGCTGCTAGACTAAAAAGGGATGTTGAGATCCGTTAGATTCGAAAGACTTTAAGATGTTTTCGACATGAGCATCCATTTGATGTTAAAAGCAATATACAGTCTACATATTGCTTCAAACACCTGCGTCAAAATCCAAAATTCAGTAAAATGCAGAAATATATTTGATTCGTTCTTTACTACATAAATATAAGATATCTTGACGAGTTATACTGAGATAGCAGACAATATTTATGAACAGTTCGATTCGATGGAAATCTATAAGCTTACTGAAAATAGGTGGGAAAACTGACAAAAGACGAGACCAGTTTCTTCTTGTATCGCCAAAAATACAACATCGCCCCTAAATAAATCCCAACGAACAGGTAAAATGCTAAACATTGTTTTAATTTTGGCGAAATAAAGAGAAATAATACTTACTCAATAAGGACTCTCAATTATGTAAAGAAATGGAATATAAATGATGGATTTCTCCATCACGACGCAAAATTCACCCCCAAAACATGCCGCAATATGCAGAGTTCTAGCTAAAATCGACGTTAAAAGGTTACCTGAGCTTTCTTCAACTTGAAGCTGATCGGCTTTCGCCATTTCAATCGTTTCCTCGCCAGAATTGTTCATATTTTACAGAGTAAATGTTCGCCAACCTTCCACAGATTATGTATGGTATGGCGCATCAAATTACACAGGAAGCCCAATCATACCTGATCGTAATTGTCGAAGGGCAATTTGTTTTTTAACTGTTATTACCTTTTTGCTATTCAAAAGCCTCTACTATCATAAAAAAACTGATTATATCAAAGGATCGTCCTTAGGTTTTTCTCCCTCCAAAGACAATATAAAATTGTGGTAAAATTTTGTACTGCAAGTTGCTGAACTAAGTTAAGTACTTGCCAAACAAACCATGTATTTTTAAGCTTGTTTTTCTGTAGTTTTTCTTAGCAGTATACATCTATATAAGCATAAATAGTAAAATGGTTGACTGAATTTGAATGGCTCACTAGCTAAAAATACCAAAAATTATGCAATTATTATGTGGACATTTGCGGAAGGAATTTCATTAAGACTAACCGTGGACTAACCTTCATTCAATCCCGAGTACTCCATGAAGTGGCAATGCCTATGGTAGGTATCATACAGCAAAAATAGCTAAAGAATCTAGCTCGAATAAGAAAAGTTTAATGTGCAACTAGATCACTGCTTCATCATCACGTGGTATACATACTGTGACGTAATGTAATCTACTTTTGAGGGAGCGCTAGGAAGATTACACAAGGGTTTTTGCTTGTTGAAAAAGAGCTGAAATTGTCTTAAAGATCCGAATGAAGAAGGCAGATTGATGTGAACATTTTTTAAATCCGAGTATTATATTACGAAGTTTTGAAACAGCCATACTCTGAAACAGAGTCCACATACGTCACAAAAAAACATCAATGACAGCTGTCTATTTTAATATGTTGACGTCACACGAGGGCACATAAATACTCCGCCATGTTTTGATCTGAATTGTGCTGTACCGTTGATGGCAACAAAACATCCTGAATTAGAAATGAGTGAATCTTACAAAGATACAGGTATGGAAGTACAAGCTTCTTATCGAATGTTATAGTCTTTACAAACATGATTTCAGTTGAAAACATTAAAGTTTTTTTGCGCTTAGTAACTTAAGGCAAACTTATCAATATTTGTGAAAGACCTGTCGAGTTCTAAGTCGTAGCAACGGTGTCAGAAACGGTGACCCTTTTCACTATGTTCCATGGCTCAAATTGATCGGAGCACTCTACTTCTATAAGCGTGTATCCAATGTTTTGAAAAACGTTTATTTATATGTGCTTGATTTTCTTAAAAGTAGCTTAGCTGATGAGGTATTCAATTTCAAGCATCCGGGCATCATCCGGGAGGATTGTTGTGTAAAATGAAATCAATATGTATGTATTAAATGATAACTTGATGTTGCATGAAAAGCAAGGTTTTGGGAGTTTTGCAATATGATGAGAATACCAGCTGTTCAGCAACAGAAATTTATGCAAAATGTCATTAAGACACATTGCCGCTTTCAACCACCGTGTTTATATATATTCGCTATGTTTGCGATCGCATTTGATAAGATTCAAAGAAAGTAGGTAGCACTAGTACAATTTTTTAGTATATTTTAGTTCTTTTGTCTCGATAATAAAATTTTTCACTTGACAATTTCTGATCAATTGTGGAATACTTCGCATATTTGCCTTGGTTGATTCGTCTTCGAATTATATATTTTTTAAACCCTATTGTTTTTCTAAACTAAATGAATTATTTTCTTAGTTCAACATTTCGGAAAGCTATCTATATATCTTACTGTAAACCGAAATAGAAAATATTTCAGTTCAAAGCTTGATTCAAATAATGTAAGTCTCTTATACTTTACTCCATCGAAGCCCCGTCACTCCCAGTCACGTGATTCTGTTTAGAACGATCGATCGTTCAAGAGCGACAACTTCACTTTCCGAAGTTTTAATGTGTCTGGTTCGATTATTTTGAAGCGTAAAGCTTATTATGTCGAATACAAAACCAGAGCAGTTTGACATTAGTCAAGGTAGGTTTGCTCTAAACGAAAAAAGGAAAAAAATCTCACTTTTTTAAAACAATGTTGGATGCGAATTTCACACAAAGCTCACTTTGCGAATATATAAAACCGTACAATTCAACGCTTTATCTGAGTTAGAAAGCCATTGTACTTACTGTATGTTAAAAGACATTTGGCTGATTTGGATTTGATGGAAAAACAAGTTGAAGTTCGAGCGGTAATTTCAGTAACGTGTGATGCTGTTGATTGATTTTGTCGCTTGTTGATTACAACACTTTTGTAGATACTGACAACAGGATTTTAAAATAAAACTGTTTTGCACTGAAACTATAAAACTTCCTGTCTATACTGCATCACTTAGGAGTTGTTTTAGTCATGTTCTAGTAAAGCCTGTCCTATAATTAGTACACTGTCAGCAATATCGTCCTCTGTTTAGTATTGTTCATAATAAGCTAATCCATGCACAAGTGCACTTGACTAAAACACTGAAACAGCGTCATTACAAGTCGCACTGAGGTATAAACTTTATTATTCTTATTACAGTCTTCCCCATAAAACCCTTAAATCTCCAAACAGATTCTATTCAAATAAATAAATATTTGTGAACTCTTAGACAAATACAAAAATTCTTCTAATACAAAAATTCTAGAAATCTGTTTTTGCCTATGACATAACTGTTCTAAATAATTATATTTTATTCTTGGAGGAGTTCAAAAAAAAAAATTATGGAAAACTAAGGAGTTGATATGAAGTGACTTTGCTGGAATAAAGAACTTTGTGCAGTTTTTCTTCAAGTTGTAAATTTATTTATTTGAAGACATTTTTTATGCCCAACAGCAGAATTTAATAATTATGACAAGATCGTAAAATATGCCATTGTAAAGCCTATGTATCATTTATAGCAATTTCAAGCCTGACTAAAACTTGTACTCACCGAAATCATTTAAACATTTTTAAATACACATCACACAAGCTTAGATGATAAATGGATATTTGGCACATATAACAGGAATAGATCAAATGCTAGGCATTAAGGAAGATTACAAGAAAACAATTAGATTATAGTGTCAGTCATTTATCTGAATGATGAATTGTAAGAGACGGCATGATAAAAGGATTTATGAGAAGGCATTTAAGTTTATCTACAATAAAATGTTTGGCGGTCATTTACACATTCAAGACGAATTATTGTTAACTTGCCTATCTTAATAGGTATCAGATGGTTGAAGCTTGTGCACTTTACATGTAGTAAAAGAATAATAATTAGTGCCTGTGGTTACTATCATGGCTGAATGTAAAAGGATCAATAGAGATCCTAGACAGTTGCCTCAGGAGCATTTCACTTCTGCATAATCAGTTTCATTTTTGACTGTCTAAATGCAAATTGGCTTGGATATTTTGCTTAGCTAGAATATCAAGATTATTAATCCAACATGAAAGTCATGTTTTCTAGAAGTATATTTATCAATTACATCAGATATTTGTAGTTTCTTTGATCATGATGTTCAAGGTATATATCAAATGGAAAGAAAATCTTTAAGCAATCAATGGATGATAACCATCCTCTTACATTGTTTTACTCTTACTTTTTAAGGTACTCATCACCAGGGCTCCGATGAAGGGCGAGGAATTTGCTATTATGTTCTGACTGCATTTTCTTTCTTCATTTTCCTCTGTACTTTGCCCTTTTCTTTGTGTTTCTGCCTCAAGGTAAAAGAGATGAATCATTACATGAACTTCACATTTTAAGACAAAATGAAATTGAAATTAGAGCTGTTTTGTTTATTCATTAAAGTGCTGATGATGATGAAAATGATAATAGATGAGGATAATTCTATTGTACTCATCTGGCAACTGAGTATTAAAATAAGTAAGTAAATGTTATAACAAGTATTTATTGTACCTTTACTTTTAATTAGATTGTCCAGGAGTATGAGCGAGCTGTCATCTTTAGAGTTGGTCGATTGCTTGCAGGTGGAGCCAAGGGTCCAGGTAAAGTGGTAATGTCATCTTTACATCAAAACATCATGGCCCTTTTACTTTTTTAGGCTTTTTCGTATGTAAGCACAAAACTCGGAGTTACAGCAAATCTTGCCTCTCCGTTATTATACAGGCTCTTCCATGTAGAAACAGCAAAACCTACTTCTATTTTTTGCAAAGGAATAGCAAAAAATGTATGTTTAGTAAACACAAAAAAGTTCAAGGACTACAACTCCCATGATTTACACTTTGTTTGATAAAGTGGTGTTCTTGTACATCTAGTAAAACCCTCTATTACTACACCATTAATAATTCAAAACTTTTAACACTGTCAAAAATCAGTCCTCTGTCATCTAAAAGCAATTCAAATATAGTTTGTACGTCATAATTACATATCTTGATTGTTTATAGGTATATTCTTCATTCTTCCCTGCATTGACACCTACAGGAAAGTGGACCTCAGGGTTGTGTCCTTTGATGTCCCTCCACAAGAAGTAAATAGAATTATTGTCTATTCTTATACACTTTTATATCATAACTTAGAGAATTATTACCCTTGAATTTTATCACTAAAAGTGACATTGAATACAATAATTTAAAATGTGGTTGTAATGTTTTTCTTAGATTCTTACTAAAGACAGTGTAACCGTTGCTGTTGACGCTGTCGTCTACTTCAGAATCTACAATGCAACCATGTCCATCACCAATGTTGAGGATGCCAACCGCTCCACACGTCTTCTTGCTCAAACAACACTCCGAAACACTTTGGGTACCAAGAACCTGAGTGAGATTTTGACTGAAAGAGACAACATCAGTCATCTCATGCAGGTTAGTGTGAAAATATTCACTTCTTAAAATTTTGTTGCTTCACATTGTTTTTATTATTTTTGTTTTCTAGTCATCTCTTGATGAGGCAACCGACCCTTGGGGAGTAAAAGTGGAGAGAGTTGAAGTGTAAGTGTTTTTTTCTAACAATAGCTTCATACTTCAATTACAGAAGGTGTACTTCATAATTATGCCTTTCTCTTATATAACCTTTTTGTAAACTAGTTGAAGTGTCTCTTGTGGATTTCTTTTTGATATGTAATATTTGTTTCTACATCATCAAGTACATAGTATAATCTACTTCTCTTATCATACATAGTAAAGATGTCCGCCTGCCACAACAGCTGCAGAGAGCAATGGCAGCTGAAGCAGAAGCTACTCGTGAAGCCAGAGCTAAGGTTTGAAACCATGGTTTCATTGCAGCTATAGAATGATGTGATATTGATTTCTTTGCTCCTTCCATTAGTGATTGTTAGTGTCCTGTTGATAATACACAATCACCATACAGTTTTTAGATTCCTTTAAGTAATTTCAAAATGCTTATCCAACAGGTCATTGCTGCAGAAGGTGAAATGAATGCTTCTCGCTCCCTCAAAGAAGCTGCAGACATCATTGCAGAGAATGCTCAAGCTCTTCAACTCCGTTATCTACAGACACTGACTACCATCTCAGCAGAAAAGAACTCAACCATCATTTTCCCTCTGCCTATTGACTTCCTAAGTCGTCTTATTCCAGATGGTAATAATTGATACTTCAAATGTGGCACTGTGAAGCCTTAGCACCATGTTATTTAATCATTTACAGCTTTAAAACATTGATAGTTTTAGTATTCTTGTAAGATTAAGTTTAGTTGATTTGTTTGTCTTTTGCAAACAGTTATAAGCTTTGTTCAAAGCAGTTTTTGTTGTTTTCTTTGAAAAGAATTTCAAGTTCTCTGGAGAATTTTTTGTGTTATTCATCAATGTAGCTGTGACATATTTATACAATAAAGTTGACAAATAAAAAATCAAATATCAATGATGTTTCTCTTTTTTTCAGACAAGGGAGGAAAAGGTTCAAAAGAAATGACCCCATTTTAGAAAGCGGAAATGTTGCAACTCCTTAGATTAAAATGGAATCGGCAGTATATAGTTATGTCAAATGCACTTTGAAAACATGAACTGTCTCCTGCATAGTTCCAGGTAGCATTGATTTTGCTATGCAGCAAAGCGACTGATGATCACATCATCACAGAAACCTGTCACACGTGCAGAAAATGTTATCATAAATAGGTGACTGTAATTGCATGCGCACTGCAGCTCTCTGGACCAATCATCATATGCTATGGCAAAGGTGTATAGTTGTACTTTTCAAGATAATTTAGGAACTGTATAGGAGACTAGTGTCAAGTTAATGTTGCTTTAAGCTTAATGTGCAAAGGGCATGATTTTTTTTATTGTGGGACAGTTAGAATGAACACATATTATACTTTGTCGTCACCAAATTACTATAAAAGCTTAATTTTCTCAGAATTATAAAGCTGCATCCAGTGATTGACTTGGAAAGCTAGTTATCTTCATAAAAATGTTTGCTATTTGGGAAACAAAATCATGCCACATGCACTTTACTAGTAAAGCCCATTGTTTTTTTTACAAACAACACTATAATTGTGAATTCACTATTTATTAATGATTTTTGAGGAAATCATGTACTCACTGATGACTGTGAAAGGAATATAATACTCTGATAACATTAAAATACTATGTATTGGACACATTATAGCCTCAAAAATTGCAATAAACTGGAACATATTAGATACATTATTGTGTATTGTCCTCGTCTCATCACATTCTCCTTGAGAGCTGTTAGTCATATTTGGACGACCTAAATCCAGTGGACAAAAGCTCTCATTATCAGACTGCCATTATAGTGTACATAAGGGTCAGTTATTCCCTTGATAGTCCGGGCCCCATAGACTGAGAAAAACACTGAATGAGAAAACGTATGAAATGGGACCACATGGCAGAGCACCTTAAAATACTATCATTCCTTATGCTGCTGATATTTGACATGATTATATACACTTCGATGAAAAAATCATCTTTTGATATAATCCTCCTCCCTTCCCTCCCTCGTCATGACTGAGACATCAAATTAGGTACAAACAACACTACATGTTTTCCACACATTAAATACACATAATACACGTTTTTTGTTGTGATATATATTTATTACATAACAGTATGCAATATATAAACATCTACAAAGCTACAATTTAGCAGCTAATAGTACAGTGTAAAATATACACCATGATAGAGAACTTAAATTTATGGAAGTTCTTTGTGTGAGTAAATTTCACATCAAAAGGACTAATGTGTAAAATCTCAGAATGAAATTTTGCTCTCTCGAGGTATATATAATTACATCATTATCTCACAGCATTTACTACTTAATTACAAACAGCCTGCACATGCATATATCACTAGTTATTACTCTAATAATATTGTACAATATATTAGAATTGAAAAACTGATGCAGTGTAGCTAAAGGCAAGTGTGCAGGGGCGGATCAAGCTAATGGGTGCAGGAGTGCGCACCCCGTCCTGAGATCTGTATCCTTCCTTATTTTGTATTTTCATGGTAATGATTTTTGTGGGGTGCACCCCCTACTGAGAGCCCCACACCCCTCCCTGAGGAAAATCCTGGATCCGCCTCTGGTGTGCTTAATAATATAATATCAAGTCCAATCAGACTACAGATGGAGGGAAATTGAGGAGAATGGGGCAGAGGTTACCCATGACCAGATGAGCCTTTTATTGAGAGCTCTGTAATGCCCATTCTTCCAATAATTCCCTCCAAAAACAACTGACATTGGACCTCATAATAAGGTTATAAAAAATCATAACATCACTCAATAAAATTCATAAATAAATATTAATCAGCATTCATTGTTTCAAATCCTTCTATACACGATATTGAACATTTTGATGAACAAAATCATTAAAAGCATTTTCTGCAATAAAGGATTTCAGGTTACTTCAGTGAAGTGAAGCTTATTATTAAGTACTAGAAATTCTGCGAAACATCTATTGTTTTTGTAGATAATCCTTTTGTAGACAAATTAACATGCAGTAAGTCCATAAGCAAGTAGAGCAAATATTTTTTAATATATCCCAACTCCACTTGGAACTCTTATGCAAAGAAACTTCTATTATATATAATATAAAGCCTCAAATTTTTACATAAAAATTAATGATCATATATTCCAGAATGGTGACCAATCAAAATCACACTAAATAGATCAACGTTTTCACCATTTGCTTAATATATGTATGATTGGTAGAAAACATACATAAAATTAACAACCAATCACAAAAATAGTAACCTCCTACACAAATAAAGACATTTCTCCCCTGGTAAACTATGTATCTTGTCCATTTGACTGGTCAAAAATAGAAAACAGCAATACCTAATGAAGAATATGATGCTTTTGAAGAAGAGACAAATGTCATAATAGATTTCCTGGCTATAGTCCAGGAAATATTATATAACATAAAGAGCAGTACCAAGACCAGGACTATCTGCATATGAGGTTACAAATGGCAGATTTTAAAAAAAAGAGCTGTTCATCTTCTATGTTGATGTGCAATTATTTGCCTTCTGGTACAAGACGACTTATGAAGTCAATAGGCAGAGGGAAAATGATGGTTGAGTTCTTTTCTGCTGAGATGGTAGTCAGTGTCTGAAGGTATCGTAGTTGAAGAGCTTGTGGGTTTTCAGCAATAATGTCTGCAGCTTCTTTGAGTGAACGGGAAGCATTCATTTCACCATCAGCAGCAATGACCTAAATTAAAAACTTTGTCAGCTGTTTATTGCAAAAGCCCTTTGTATACCTGTCCTTATTGCTGTAACTGTTCATCATGTTTGATTGATTTTTTATCACAAAATAATCTCCAATGAACCTTAGCTCTGGCTTCACGAGTGGCCTCTGCTTCTGCTGCCATAGCTCTCTGTAGCTGTTGTGGAAGGCGAACATCTTTCCTACAATGACACAATAATAAATAAGCATTAATGTCGGTAAATAAGTATTATAATTTGAGCCATGCAATAATGACAGCAAGAGTTTTATTAATTGGACAGAATAGAAGTTAATATTATGAAAATTGACCTGAAATATCTTTACTTACACTTCAACTCTCTCCACTTTCACTCCCCATGGGTCGGTTGCTTCATCAAGAGATGTCTGAAAAATGTTATTAGTCAATGCAGACTTATAAAACATAACAAACACAGAAAAAAATTGAATCAAAATATATTATTTTGTAAATAATTGTAGGTTCAACTTCAATGCATGAGCTTCCTGCTGATCAAAAACAGTTCATTTTTAATTACTAAACCATCCCCAATTCAATATCCTCCAAGACATTGACGTCTTGTCACTCAGAAGTAGATCACTGCACAAAACAGCAAATGATTAAAAGAAATTACTCAGATAATTTCTTAAATATTTTACACAAACCTGCATGATATGACTGATGTTGTCTCTCTCAGACAAAATCTCACTCAGGTTTTTGGTACCCAAAACATTCCTGAGTGTTGTTTGAGCGAGAAGACGTGTGGAGCGGTTGGCGTCCTCAACATTGGTGATGGAAATAGTTGCATTATGGATTCTAAAGTAGACAACAGCATCAACAGCAACAGTCACACTGTCTCTGGTTAGAATCTAAGAGAAATGCAAAAAAATATAATTTAACTCAATCATGCTGGGAACTTGATTAAACTGGTGTTGCAGTACCATGGTGTGTCTAATATAAAAACATTTCAAAAAAGACTTTTCAAGATCTTGTATTTTTAATTAAAATTTAAGCCCATTGTACAGTCCATGCTAATACTTCATTGATGAGAAAGAATCTTGGGAAACTATCATTATTGACAAACATTATACTTCATCCCATGAAACCTAGAGAGTATATTTCTCACACATCACTGCTTGTCAGGAACATCTTTGAGTATTTGTTTTTTGACTGGACCATATATTAGGAAGCTAAGCATTTATTGTGCTCAGTTTAATTTAAAAGTCTTAGAGTATAAAAACAAATAGAAAATAATGATTGACTTATATTACAATTTGGTAAATCCCAGTTTATAAATAACACTCAATGCTAACATGTACACTTGTAATATGTAAATCAATAATTTGAAAAATAATATAAATATGAATTAAATAATGGTTACCTCTTGTGGAGGGACATCAAAGGACACAACCCTAAGGTCCACTTTCCTGTAGGTGTCAATGCAGGGAAGAATGAAGAATATTCCTATAAATGACAACAGAAAACATCTTTAGAATATTATGATCAATGTAGAAGGAGAAAATGGCACAATCTGTAAATAAAGAAAGTTTTAAAAATTCAGCTCCATCTGAGACAGTCACAGAACCATAAAATACTGTGACTTTATCATCTAATGCAGTCTAGATGAAACAGTTCTTGCAATGCTAATTGTGTTCTCCCTTCCTCTATGAGTTCTGCTTGTGTGAGGTTTTCAACATCAGGGCATGTTTTTACCTGGACCCTTTGCGCCACCAGGAAGCAGCCGTCCAAGCCTGAAGATAACAGCTCTTTCATACTCTTGAACAATCTAACCATCAAAGCATTCAAAATAATTATACTAGCTTTGTTAGGATATAGAATATTACAATACTATAGTCCACTTTTCAAATTCTAGTTGAAAGACCTAAAATAAATAAAATGTATCTTGAGGGCTTTGCTCGGAATACTCTAGCTACATTGACAAACTTGTGATGCTTTATTAACTCATATACTAGGACTAGGGGCAGATTGTGTCTGATTATGTCACACGACAGACCATGGCAAGGAAATATATGAAAGGATTTTAGTATTACCACCATTAAAAAAAACATTCATGGCACAAAGTACTACTGCAGTTTTTCTCACTTATGAACAAAAACTGCTCTCATTATTATCTTAGCTATGTAACATCATACCTTTAAACAGAAGCAGAGAGAGAAGGGAAGGGTACAAAAAAAGATGACAAGAGAAAGACCAGTCAGTAGGTAATAACAAAGTCCACGATCTGGTTCATCTGCAATCAAATATACCAAAATTAATGACTATACATGAAATGATCTATACATGTGAAGCACCTTTGAACTCAGAGGATATCGGCGCTATACAAATACCACTTATTATTATATTATTATTATTACATATTATTAATGACTGGTATCTATATTACTGATATCATAGCACCAATGTCCTATTGTTTTTCATCACAAGTGTTATTATTAGCAATTTTTCATAATCATATTTTTAAAGTAATATCATTATTGTTGTTGTTGTTTTGATCATTAATCAATCCCTTCATTACTTTGTTTCTTTTTCTTAGAAGTAACTCTAAAAATTGACTTTTTTAAGGTTTTCTGGTTAAATAATAATTAAAAAAACTGATAAGTAATCACAAAATATCTACAGCATTTTGTATCAAAATTATATGAAATAATTCAATTCAGGGATTTTTTATGAATAAAGCTACAATAATTTCATCAAAACTGTAGGATACTAAAACAGCCGGCATGTTTGAAACTTGTAGTCATCCAATTTAATTTGCTATAAATTTGCATACAGTTTTAATTTACATAATAATAACACAGTACAATGAAACCCTTTTAGTGTAAATAGACATAGGTTCCATAAAACCCTCGCTAGCACTTTTACTCATATTTATAAGGATATATGCCGTACACCATTTTTTAAATAAAGAACAAATTTAGTCTAGTTGAAATACATAAAAGATTTATGAAACATTGTTGCTATCTGTAAATTATTCCAGAATGAAGTCACAATCAAATTACTCATTACATAGCATGAATTGATAAAGGTGGGGGTGAAATTTTCATGCTTCAGGTACTGTTGTCAAGTTTTAAGAGAAATAACATTAAAAAAAATAGATTGAAAACATATTTAAAGTCACTGTGCCCACCATCAATACAAGACTTTGAAAAATGGATTGAAAATAGAAAAATAGGAAATTTGCAATTTGATTCTTGCAGTATCACCTGACTATGTCATTTGATTTCGAGTATGCAAACACAATTTTACAAATTGATCTTCAAAATGTGACTTAAAGTCACATTTATCGATAAGAGACCTCAGAGAAAAACGAAAATCAAGCCTTGTGAAGAAATGATTTAAAATACAGGGAGTTCACAGTTCATTAATATTGATGATAGCCACCGTGAATTCAACAGATTCTGTCCACAACAAAAACATCACGAAAATAGAGTTACTAGAGAACTACAATACAACATAAACAAGTAAATAACAATGTACAAACACACTTCACATGTTTAAAGTTATTCATAACCACTATTTTTGAGAATAAAAGTCTAGTAAGCGACAGAAGAAGCTCAATCGTAATAAATTAAGAATCGTACGAAGTACATGCATGTAAACTTAATAACTTGTATTTCTTCCTTGGTTTGATCTAGCCCCAACTGGAATACGAATGGATAGGACTTGTAAACTTCCAGTCCTCCTTGGATGTATGATATAGATCAAGCACTTCTCAACATTAATATCCTTGATAAGCTAACTTTTATTATGCAAGACTTGCAGAAGTCATGACAGCAGAGGATGTTCCAGGTGTGTGGAGGGAGCAGCTGAAAGGCGGCCGTAGAAGAGCGACAACAAACGCCACCAAAATACCACTAAAAAACTGTCATGATCACATTTACTGACATTTTTAAACAATCAAAACCACCTAGTTCATACATGCACGATAAAACGTTGTTGACAAATATCAAGTGAAGTAAAGCAAGAGTCGACTGCAAATCTAGGTAACGAACATAAACAATGGCGAAAACCTTCTAAAATATCGATAAGAAAACCACTAAAAATAGCACAATAGAGATCCTCTTATAGTTAAAATATAGTTAAACTTACCATTTGAAGGATCTTCGGTGTCAACTTGGTTAGATTTTCCCATATCTGCCATCGTTTCTTCGGCTATAGTGGATCCAAAGACGAGGTGCCTTTGCGTATAAGGCACAGTATGACGTCATCGAGGAAGATAGGTTTCTTTGGAGGAGGACTGGGAACTATTACGTCAATGTATATAAAAACAGGATGATCAAAAAAACTACTGCTGTTGATTTGACTAGGGCGATTTGGTCGATGCTAAAGGCAATGGTCTTTTAGCTCTTCTCAGGAGCCAGCATTGTACTCAGTTGCTGCATATTTTAACAAAATTTTGCTTTACAGATTCAAGATAAATTTAGCATATTGGCTTTTTTACATACCAGGCTATTTTCAAGATATTGAACTTTATGCTGATGAGCGAACATATTTTTAATGTCTGTAACGTTTTTTGAATTAATAATATGACACTAAATTAATTTAGAAAAAGACAAAACATTAACAATGGTGTAATATTGTTGTGCGGTGTCCTTTGCCGCACCGCGGCAAAAAAAGACATCTGCGCGCGTGAAATATTTCCATTTTTCAGCGGAATTGAAAGGTCAGTTTTGTTTATTTGGTTTAATATGCGCACTTGGATTCTATTTAAAAAGCTCTATATCGTTATAAATTTATCAATAAGGAGGGAGTACATAAAGTACAGACGTTTGTTGAAAATCGTGCATGCTCGAGTGGTATTAAAACGAAGGGAAGACTATTTTTTGACCCAAATTGGTAGCGACGGATTTCTGATAAGTCACAGCTCACAACGCATTGGAGAATCTTAGGCGTTCTGCAACCAAACGATCACCACCTTACCGTGAGTGGGGCAGTTTGCGTGCTTCCATGAGTGACCCCTAGAGCTATTTCAGCTGGGGTATATTCCTAGTAGGGTCACCCATGCCGGAAAGGTCGAAGGGTAGAGACTAAGCGCGACCCCCTGTTCGCAAAAAGAAAGAAAAAAGATTAAGCCTAAGGCTAGCGGACCCCCTATGTTCAATATTAGACTTTCCATGCAGGAGCGCATGTACAGCAGAAAACAAACAACTTGTTTCTGTAAATACGATTTATTGCAATAAAAGTTGATCACTATGAACCCCTCTATTCTCCAAGATAGCTGAAGATATAGCGATACTCGATGCTTATCAACAAACTCACTCTTATGTTGTGCAGCCATGATCAGAATGCTTTTCACGAGTCGCTTTTTTTTTCTAACAGCCAATCGTCTTCTGGTTGGCACATGAATAACAAAGGCTTACGTCACAGTGAGTATCGCTATATTTATGACTATTACAGAGGAGATTAATCTGTTTTTTATCAAAGTTATGACAATCAAATCATATGTTATTAAAGTGCTATAAAAACGGAGTCGAGTTGGCATATGTTTTGTCGAGGACGAATCCAACTCAACGCAACAAATCGATTTCTAACCACACTCTTTCAGACTATGTTTTTTAAACTTGTAACTATGATTCTTTTGCAATTGAACTAGGATTTCTTAGGTCGTCACACCCCTCCCTTATCTGGATCCGCCCATATTCCGACTCGAAGCCTGTTCTCGATGTATGACAGTATCTCCTGGCTGGTGATATTTTGCAGGTGATCAATTTATGAAGAGGTATTATTCTATGATTATCAAGGTGTAATTATTATCCTCACAATACTAATTATACCTACGAAAACCAATTGACCATATGTAAAAAAAAACAGCGAACGTTTTCATAGACACAAATACTCATCTGAAGAACATACTTCAAGTTTTTATGTTCATATAGATGTGATTAAAAAAGTCAATGTTGTCACTCAGATTTGAGTTTTTACCACTAAAATCACAAATGCTGTGAATGAAATGTTTCATCCCAGCGCCAGAAATGAAGTAGATATTGAAATATACGTGATCTGAAATAATTCAGTTAAAAATATAATTGAGTTTCTGTTACTTCAACAGCATTTCCATTGATACTAACAACTAGAAGTACGATTTCCTGTTCAGTTTGTGCACCGATTCCGTGACGGCTTTCCTGGATTTTGTGTCAATGAATCAGTGCTCAGTGTAAAGGTGTCCGAGCCCTGCAGACTTTCGTTGGAACGTCAACGCATTTTATCCTCCACGTGGACTGAGATCTGCGTAATATCTTGTATGTATATTTGTCGTCGATGAAAAGCACCGAAAACAGAAACTAAGACTAATAAGATACCCAGGAAACGGCAAAATAAAAGTCATAATACTAGTAAAATACCCCCTTTCGATCTCATTCTACTACAAATAAATCGATTCAGGTCATTCAGGCATCTGGAATGGTAGCGCCTTACAGTGTGTTTTGTCGTAAATACATTAATTTTGTTTTGAACATTCGTTCATCATTCAAATATAAACTATCATCCTTTGCAAACATCGGTCACACCTTCCATACTATTAACGTCTGCAATGGAGAATTCCAAATATCAGAGTCGAAACGAAGCGTATCAGTTGTGCTGCTGTTACCTACTGTTTTCTTTGCTTTTTTCGAATCTTATTAAAAATCGTAACGACATCTCACACTATGTATCTAAGGATTAGGTTCTTATGTTGATGCTTCCCCCACAAGTTTACGTTATACGGGACCCTAATTCCATTGACTTTACGTCATCAGTCACACTGTTCATACTATGAAATTATGGTATATTTTATACAAAAGTCTCTTTGTACATTTGTTATATTAAAATTGTCTATGTACACAAATACTATAAAGGTGGACCGTTTACTCCCGGATGTAGAAAAATACAAGAATCTCCCCGTAGACAGCCCCTTGGGGAGACGAAATGACGACACACTGGAGGCGTTCCTCGACCCCTGCCACGACCACGCCCTCGACCACGTGGCATTCCTCGCCCTCTACCACGCATGTTCGGACCCATGACATCCTCTCCTTCCATTCCTTCGTGCATTTCATCGCCAAATTCGTCGCGATTTTTCTGTTAATAAAAAAAGCAAAACTCAATCAGGTAAGAAAGTATTTTGGCTTCATAATTGGATGATAGTGGACACTATGCAAAATATGAGAAAATTAAGAATTAGGAAGCTGTCCTTCGTTGTCCTTCATATGAGAAAATGTTTTGTTTTTACCATTTCCGGCAGAAGAGGTCTTGGACCACCCATTCTTGGATGCATTGGACCTCTGATTGGTCCATCTGGTCCAATAGGCATTTGATTTGGCCGTGGACCACCAGGACCCTGGAACCTAGGACGATGTTCTGGACGGAAGTGAGGTCCTCTTGGTCCAAACTGCGCCATTGGAGGCCCCACATCACCTGGGCCTGAAACACACAAACATTTTTAACATGGAAGTAACTCATATCAGAAAAGATACCAGTAAAGAGAAATAGCAGAATGAGGCATGCCAAGTATTCCATACCAATTCCAAGAAGTCCCATTCCAGGATGTCCAGGTCTTGGTTTTCCTTGTATTGGTTCAAGAATATTTTTAAGAGAATTGGGAAGCTGACCATCTTGTTGTTGCTGTTGTTGTTGTTGTTGTTGTTGCTGCATTTGTTGTTGCTTTACACTTGATAGCAATTGATTCAGTGGTTGACCACTCCCACTTTTAGACTAAAACGATAAAAACATGTCACATGTACAGAACATAAATAACCTTATAATCTTAAAAGAGACATTTTAGTGTTATTTCAAAGTGAATCACTATTATTTGATACTGTGAAATGTGATTGTTAAAAAAAGCTGTTGGATCTAAAGCTTACCATGATTTTATCCAAAAGAGATTGTACTGACACAGGATCTGAAAAAAAGTTTAAGTCATGAGAAAACGTGAATATAACATGCAGCAATAGATGCAACGTGAGGATTACCTGAAGGTGTAGGACCTGTAGCTGGTGCACCAGAACCTGAAATAAGAAACACTGATGTAATTTATATACAGTACAACCATTGCAGACACAATAAACTGAGCCTTACACATCACGTAGGATAAACTAGGCTGGTTTATGCATCAAACAATCAAAACCTTGACCTCTAGGGGCTGGGAAATGCTTGGACTTGAGCATTGTTGTAATGTTAATTCCCCCAGTATTATCCAGAGGGGGTGGGGGGAGGGGTCAAATTGATTGATGCATCTTAACTCCAAGCCGAGAGGTACTGGAAGCTCTTTCAGGCACATGTATTGTATGATATATGCATGAACATTATTTTGGCAGGTCCAGTTGTGGTTATCAACTGGATAAAATTACACATCATGTATAGTGCTAATGACGCTTTGTACAACTGCTCTGATTTCAATATTCAATAATATTTCACTCACATAATACATACTAAACTGATTATAAAAATACCATATCATATTGACATTTTTATCTAGTTTACCTGGTGTTGAAGAAAACAAAGATGCCAGAGCTGCAGGAAGCTGAACCTGAGATGTGGTAGAAGGAGGTGTGGCTGCCTGCTTAGGTACTGGATGTGTTGTCCCTTTCTAAAATAAATGAAAAAAGAATGTCAAAGACCAAAGCCAATGGTTGATTGACAGCAATTACCATGACGACAGTACCTCATCATGTGGAATAACTTTAGGCTCCCCAGTTACTTGTTTTTCATGCTCCATGTCAGGTTCTGCTGGACTGTCTGGTAAACTGAGAAAAGAAATTTAAATAGAGTTAATTTCGTATGAGTGGGAAATGGATGGTGCTGTACTGTAACCGTAATTGTACTGTAACCAAATTCTAGTGTCTCATTGCTTCACAAAAATTGTGCAGGCCAGGTCCGGTAACTGTGCGGTAACCGTGCGGTAATTTCTACCGTATATTTCCCACTCATACGAAATTGACTCTAGATCCATATTGTAGGTACTTTAAAAACAAAAACATACGCTAAAAAACATGTTTATTATGAAATTTTGATATAAATTGTTACCTTGATTTTGAGAAGAAAATATCAGCAAGGACACTTGACTCTCTTTCTTTCTGTGATGACAAATCAATTATTATTTAAAATAGTTTAAGAAGTATACCAAGAAGCACCAAGATGAGGTAGTAATACTTCACTGAAGAATCATTATGAATCTTACAAACCTGAATTTTTTTCTCTTCACTTTTACTTCCATAGTCAACTGTAATTGTTAATCCTTTTATTTCTTTAGGTTTATACCACTGTGCATTATATAAAGAACAAAGATAAGCAGAAATAAACAAAGCAACATATTGAAACATTATAGAACTTAAAATTTACCTTGACTTTTTCCAGCATTTTGTCTTCGTTTAGTCTTTTGGCTTTTTCAAGTAACTGATCAGAAAAATTAATACATAACTGATTAATTCAACCCATTAAACACTAATATACATGAACTAGTTTATTACCAGTCTTTCATTCATCATTTCATTGTGTGCAGCATTTATAAAGTTGATAGGATGTCGTATTGTTGCTGCAAAAGAAAGTGAAGGTTTACATTTGTAGTCCTGTTAGAGGATCTACAAAAGTGCGGTGTTATCGACGGCAATGCTACACAACTGTTAGAGCAGTAAAACATAATAAGCATGGATTGTTTTATTGAAGGGAATGTACCTCGTTCATCTTCATCCATCTCAAAGTAGTGATAAGAAGCTAGTTTGCTGTCCTCTGCCCAGGTTACAAACATTCCTTTTTTGTTGGGTTTCTTTGCTGGTGGTTCAACATCAGCAACATCCTCTGTTATCACAGTGGACGGAGTAGAAGAATCTGAAAACCAACATATTATGGTTATAAGATAGGTAGGAAAATAGTGACAGCAATAAAAAAATGTACCTATTGCAGGACAACAAGAACTAGTATATTACATAGCACACATTGTACAACTTATAAAACTCATTAATATTCATAAGGCAAAACACAATAGAAATCATAGCCCATGAAGARMGTTGTATATYACATAMAKATTTCTTGTTCATTTGCATAAACTTTTACTCTGATTTTCTCAGTCAGATTGAATTTTTTTTCAAAAGTTTCTTTAAAACCTGAGCTAATTTACCTTAACGTTTCATAAGTAATATACAATATTCGCGTGCGATCTGTATGAGGATTTAAAACAGCTCGCTTTCAGCTCGCTGTTTTAAATCCTCATACAGATCGCCCGCTCATATTGTATATATTACATAAAATACACCACATTTTATTTAAAAAATACAACAAATACTCACTTGATTCTATAGTTTTGTCTTTATCTCCATTCTAGTCAAATGTAAAAACAGTCATTTTTGAGTACTATTAATCTAGAGTGTATTGAATATTATACACACTGTAAGAATAAGTTCTAACACCACAGTAGTTCTCACCTCAGAATCCTTTGAAAAGTCTGCTGCATCACCAGCTGAAGACAAATCATAAACACCATCAGTATTTAGCTGGCCAGGAAATAGTTTCAAAATATCTAACTGTCCAGGCAATTAACACCATGCAGTACTAACTACCCGACCAGGCTACTGTCTACAAAATGCCACAAAACCTCTTGATAGGAGACTATATGAATGTTATCACTTCAAGATGTATCATGCCCTTACCAGGAACATTGTTTTGTGGTGAGCCTATTGGTGACGACTTTTCATTAATATCTTCAATAGCTTTAACTTTGGGTTTTTCTCTTTCTTCAAAACCATGAGTTTGTGATTGATTGCTCATGATTTCATCCAGAAGACCAGAATAACTTGACTACAATAAACAAATTGTTTTATTTGTATGGTTGTGTAATACATTATTACAACAGAAACACTAATACAACATGCAAGACTTTATTTTATTTATAACTTTAAAACGTAGAGGCTCCATTTTACATACAAATTGAGGCTAGATTTGTAAACTGAATCTTGCCACAAGATATAATAATAGTGTTTTGCTGTGATTATTACCTTGCCAGCAGGACTAGTTGCTGTAGTAGTTGTTGTTGTATTACTAGTAGTTGTCTAAAGTACAAAATGGAAAATAAGAATCTTCAAGACATTTTTTTAAATAACTTTAATCCCAATAAATCAACTGTATTAATCAAGTATATGAGAACTATTTCTAATAATATTGAAACGCAAACCTTTTGAGACGTAGAAGCAGGACGCTTTCTTTTCTTGATTGGCGCTGGTGCAGAGGCAGTTGTCAGCGCATTCATGAAACCAGCACTTTCAATGGCCACAACTAAATAAAAAAAATATATCAAATTATTTTAAAAATGCCTGATGAACCTGTAAAATTGTGACTATGACATCTTTACTAAGTCTACTGCCTTTCTCATTTACTGACTTGGGATTTCTGTGTGCAACATAATGCTTAATGGTCTCAATATATGTGTACACAGGAATACCACACATAATATCTTTCCAAATCTTCATCACAATTAAAGCTCAGTTTACCTTTGCTCTCTTTCTTCATCTTGTGCTTCCCATCATTTTGTTTTATTTTTTTCTCAGGTATGCCTGCAGTTCCATCAACATCTCTGAAATCATAACCAGCATCATTAAGACAAATATATCACAATTACATTTATTACCATTYACTATGTGAATCAAGTCTATTCCAATGTAGTATAGTGCCTCAAATGTGCTAACCTTTGCCTCTTGGAAGATTTCAGGTCATCTGCAAACAATGATATCATAAATTAATCTGATTTAGTAATACCATGAAACAAGCATACCTGCATACATACCTGCTTTAGCTGATGCCAGGTCTGTTGGACTATCAGAGCCATGTGAACTTATCTCTAAACTATCACCATTTTGCTTGAACTTTTCTGATGGTTTTTGTCCTTCAGGTATGGCTAAACAAACAGCATATTGAATACGTTATAGTGACAATACAACTAATGATGAACAGTGAAAGCTTTTTTTACCTGATTTATGTCTTACTAAAGACATCCATTGCTTCAGTATACTTGTTGACATCCTTTTGACATCTTGTAATAAAAAATGAAAATAAAGCGCACTTCTATCACTGTTATTTTTAAAGAGACACTGTGAACTGTACTTTTTCCTTACCATTATTATCTACTTTTGTCAAATACTTGACTATTTTTCCTGTATTACCCTATAAAAAGAAAATGGCATTTGTTACTCTTCTTGGAATAATCATAATTTGTTTGATGTATCAAAATGTTATTTGCAACATGTTTTGTTACCTGCTTGAGGGTGTCAATAGATATTGGAAGATCTTTTAGAATCTATACACAAAGTAATGAAATAGTAACAGTAATACTTAGTTGCATAATGGTTACTGGGATTTGCAAACTTTAGTAAACTATGGCATAACAAATAGTTGCTATAACCAGGCATGTTGGAATTTTGCGCAGATGTGAACACGCATAATTGCTCTCTTTCTGCACAATTTACCAAATCACGCTTAATCGCACATAATTCATGATTCTTTTTCCATTTTATACAATTTTCCTAGATGACTTGCCTTCTACTGATGTTTTTTGTGGTTCCTTGACTGTTTTTGCTCAAAAATCGCTTCCTAACATTCCGAATATATAGTTTTGTTTTTGTGGTCTTCACAAATGACCAGGCGTTCAAATCTCATCAGAAAAGAGTCTGGACACTGACAAATTCCAAGATGGTGTATGGAAAGTGAGAACAGCACGAGAACTGAAAAAGTCCTTAAAAAACTTTCCTTTGGTTGGTACTGCTTTCAATGTTTTGTAACGAAAGATAAAACCATAGTTTTACATAAAAAACAACAACACAATAGCCTAAAAATATGTAAAATTTCCCAGATTTTTTCCCTTTCTTTCGATGACGTCATGCTGCATAATTTCCACATAATTTACTCTTTTCTCTGCATGATATTGGGAAAAAATACCACATAATTTTGATTTTTTTCGCACAAAATTCCGACATGCCTGTATAACATATATCTGCCAGATTTAGCTTAAATGAATCTATGAAGCATAAAAGCCTAAACCTTATACAATGCATTGTAGCAAGCAGACAAACCTCCAAGAGTTCAATGATGATGGAGAAATTCTCAGTCTTTTTACCATCAGATAACCATTTATTCAATACTGCCCATCCTCCAATTGACACAAATCTAAAAAAATGGATTATGATCAGGAATACTGAATGTGGCTTTGCAAAACAAAGTTCTTTGTGTTTGTTCAGTTTACTTACTTTTCAAGAGTCTCAGTAGATTTTTCATTTTCATGTGACATTATGATTGTTGATTTGAGAATGTTAAGATAAACACATCGACTCATCAGTTTCTCCGCATCACGCATCAAACTGAAATAAAATAAAAACCACTTAACTGACTATCAAACCAGAAATCACACAATATCTGATGATATTAACTATAAGACAACACTTTTGCTATATACAAACAAGTGATAAGCATCTACATTTAACTTACCTAACAACTCTCACTACTTCTTGGGGAGACTTGATATCCCCCGATGGTCCAAGCATTGGTTTGAGGGCATTGAGTAATGTCTTAGGCTCACCACCAGACGTACCCTATCAAAATAGTTATGTCATTCAGATTACTAATACTGTAAACGTTTTGCTAAAGACATAATAAGGAGCGTTTATCAAGAAATATCATCAGTTTTCTCACACTAGAGAAATTGTTCAACTGCAATGAAGTCATAATGCTGACTTTCGATTGCTTAATTTAATCAAAGATATTGATTGAAATACAACATCTAGTAAAAAATACTTGGAAATAATTCTATGTAATTATTACCATGATTAGAAGCTTTACTTTTCACTCCTGCAAATAAAATTGAACACTGGTTATTACCCAGTTTATGATACATGTACACATTATGAATTTTATTAAATCTTTCATAAATATTTTTGTATGTTAATGAAATAATTTTGGAATTGTGTGGGCATGAAGAAAACATAAATACTGCACTTATTTTAGTATAGTTATAGACAAACGAGAACAGTGGAAACCTTAAAAACACATCTTTGTGCAGTTTATGAGCCAGTTTCAATTCTTAGCAAGTTGATAACAAAGGAAATAATAAAATATAAGACTGCATTCATTGCATATAAATGAAATTCTACTGTAAAAAATCGGCAAAGGATTGTGAACAAATTTAGTTGAGTTTGCATACTGTTAGTTCAAAGATGTAGTAAATTACAAAATGCTATCCCAAACATTGTTTTTTTGGTAACTATTTTCATTGTGCAAAGCCCAATGGATGACCTTAATAAACAAAATGCTTGTTCTCCTACAATCAAAGCTACATTTTAGCTATTTTTCATTGATTTTTCTTTGCTATGGCTTCATATTGTAAAACTGTTCTTCTGTGAGTGTAATGGTTCTGATTAATTGGTTATTAATTTATAGTTGAAAAGTGAAAACTGTTTCTGGGAATAAGAATTGATCGAGATCAACCCTTTTATATAATTGTTTCATTTGGAAAGTTACATTGGAAAGTTACATTGAAAGGGATAGAGATGCGACACTTCCAGATAACACTTATGGGTGTAGTCACTTTGGAAAAAAGTCACCCATAGCTCGATACTTTAGGGGCTTTCAGCATTAAAATTTGTTAGGATTCTATGATAGACCATGAGGAAAAGCATAAGTACCAACAAAACTAGGAATTTTAAATTATATATTTCAATATCAAATTCTAATAATTCAGCAGAAATCGATTGACATACAAAATCAAACAAAAAACACAATTTTTCTCAAATGTTATTTTATCAAAAAGTAGTAATCAGCAAAAACTTCGATAAAAAGATACATTTCATTGGGCAAAAATGCCATGTTGATTGCATAAAACTATGAATAATTAATGACCTTGCCCAGAAACGCAGAATTTTCTTTTCTACACCTAAAACCCTCAATAATCAGTGCTTTATCGGTTAAAAACACTTAGACTGTTCAACATAATCCATTATTTTATCCTATTTTCGTGTGAGCGCCATTCCGCGTCGAATTACAAAGCTTCGACGACACCGACCCATCGGGTGTGATTCTATCACTCGTATACTGCAGCCTCTACGACATATTCAAACTTCTTTAAATCTTTTGGGAAAGAAAACAAATCAAAAATTGTCTACATTAATTATCATTGACCAAGAGTCGCAAATCCCCGACCTCTCTCTCCAACCATCGCACTCTCTTCCAGCTTCGGTATCTTAGGTCTGGTGTCCGATTTAGCATGCTTTGCCTCATGGTCCTTATATTTGACAGTCTTTATTTCAGACTGCTTATTTGACTTCTACTTTTCATAATGTGGATTTGGGTAAGAATGAAAATCCCCCTATGAGACACGAAATTTGCAGTCATCGTTTTGTTCGCTCGTTTATTTGAGCGACGTGGACCGATACTCCGCTTACAAATCGAGTCAACTTACTCAAAGAGTCTTTCGTTTTCAACAGTAATCCTTTAAGAAGTATCTCTCGTCAATTTATACACTTCCACAGCATGTGTATAATACTTTTTAACTAGAACTTTCGAGCAATTTTTGGGAAACCTAAAAGAGAATATTGTTCAAAATTCCATTGCTTGCATGGCGGTGTCCGCTTCACGCGCCATCGTTCTTTGTGCTTTCTTTCGCCATTACTATGTCTTGGACTACCCTGAAACTGCACACAAAGGACCTTGGTTAGTTATCGTTTGTTACCGTATCGAAATCCTGCTTCACTGGGATAAAGGAGAGGTATAAATTACTAAAAGAACTTCAACGAAATGAAGTTCACAAATCCAACATGGCTTACCATTGAGAAGATTTGAGAAGCGCCTTGTGGAGCAACGCCTCATGCTTCAGCAATCGCGACCTCTCATTGGACAAAAACTTGTCAATCAATCATTTCAATGACATATTATGGGTAATTCTTTTCACGAAATGCATCACGGGTAAATATTTCTTAAATTCAAGATGGCGGCTGGATCGATAAGAAATTGTTTTAGTGTTGTTCGGTCTGTTTTACCAGGTTCTGCTGTTATTTTAGATAATTTTCTTACACAGAGGATCAGTTTGTCACATATCGTTTTACGTAATTATTCGCGATTTTCCGAATTTCAAGGAATCAAACCATCTGCTGACAGAGGAAAGTTTCTCACGTTGACGTATCCTTACTCCTTGTCCAACGTTAGATTTGTTCATAACTCAGGTAATATCCTCTATATATCTATTAATCAATATAATTAAATGATGATCTCATTTATCCAGTAGTGTGCAGCATCAAATGATAAAAAACGTATGATAATGATGATCATATCATCATCATCATCATAAATTATTTGCAGTTGTTCATTATATTAAATATTTATTTCTGTCAGGTTCTCAACACGAATTTAATGAAGCTGATACATATATACCTGAACATACAAGTGATTTGAAAAAGTAGGTTACAATCTTTACTGCATTGGAACTATCACTCAGTCATCGATTTCTCACAAATTTCAATTAAATTGTATCCTTCTTTTTTTAGATTGACAATAGATGATATCATGAAAGAGTGGCAAGGTATTCTATACAGTCACACATCCATGATTTGTGTTGTACATGTATATGTTAAATGTATCATTCAGTAGTGAGCAAGTGACCCTAGTACTCAGTTATACAGTTCCCAGTGCATTCTGGGAAGGTAGCCATATCTTAACATTAAAGAGAGATTCAGTTGAGCTATCAGCTCAGTACAGCTACTGCTATTCTTTTCTTATTGAAAAGGTTTTCAAACTTCTCAGCAGGGTTAGTTATTGCTATTTGAAGTATTCTTGTGATATTTATTATAGATAGCAAGCCAATATGGTCAGGGTATAGGCGAAATCATAAGGGACAAATTCCACAAAAGGTATGCTATTGCCCAACATACATTGAACTTGAGAAATTTACTACCTTGAAATCCTTCAATGGAATATTGATTCCCAAACTATTATTTTATTTTTGACACAGAGAACAAGACTTAGATGCACAACAGTAAGTTATCAAGAGAAAGGCATTTATTTCCACATTTTTCATGTTTTAATTTGTAATATACATTATTTTTAAGGTATCTAAGAAGCTTCTCACTCAAAACCCTTGTCCAATATGTAGAGTAAGAGTCAATAAGAACTATGAAATGGACAGCAAGGTACTCAGAATGATTTGTTAACTTATTAAACTGTGAAATAAACCAAAATGATGATATATGCCATATAATAAAGTTGTCTTTTATTTGAAGGACGTGGTGTTTTTAACCCAGTTTATCAGTCCACACAGTGGTGAAGTACTTGATAACAATAAAACTGGTAACTTTTATTTCTCTACCTTCTATCTTTTGTTCTCTCGCTCATTGTTTTGTATGGGTGATCAATTCATTATTTCAATTATCAATAGTAATGTCATCTAACCATATACAGCGAGTATTTATTAAAGCATATAACAAAACACACAATATTAATTAATTATGAGGTAGATTATGATACTGTACCACACTAGGTACACTACCACACTAGGTAGATTATGATACTGTACCACACTAGGTACACTACCACACTAGGTAGATTATGATACTGTACCACACTAGGTACACTACCACACTAGGTAGACTATGATACTGTACCACACTAGGTACACTATCACAATAGGTACGCTATGATACTTTTAATCTTAAATTTTTTTCAAGGTGTTTGTAGACAACAACAAAAGAAGCTAATTAAGTCAATAGAAGAGGCTAAAAATCAAGGTTTGTTAACTGTGTACTCCTTTAGAGACTGTGTACATCAACATTATAAGTGATAGAAAGATTTGGTACATTATAAAATCATTTGGCTGTTTATTTCCAGGTAACTTACCTTTTACCATTCCTGGACCACGGGACCCACAAAGACAGTTTAAAGCAGCAGGAATACCAGCACCAAACATAAGAAACAAAACAGGATGACTACAAAGTATTGAAATTTGTGGCAACATCCAATAATTGGATTATAATTATTATATACAAACTTGTAATAAGCCATAATGGAAATAAAGTGTAATATGTACCATTATTTGCGTTGTTTTTGTTCTGACATGGACTAGTTTGATTGTTATAAATTAGCTCAAAATATGTCAAATCACATTAATGTACAAAATGTCAGATAGTCCGTGAAATCATTATCAATTGTTTACATTGATTTAGGAAAGTTTGAAACCACCACAAGCAGAAATTCGGAATGTTGATAATTTATTATTGATAATTTATTATCCAGTTTTCTTTGAAATGTGTCAAAATGCTTTCTGAATATGTAAATGTGTATGATTGATTAACATTAAAATGTTCCAATCATTATCTACCACCTACTGGTCAAATGTGAAAAGGCAAGTAATAATCACGTGAGATGAAGTGGGGAATACCCTTTGTCACGCAACTTCGTGACAGTAACTAAAATTAAGCTCAAAAGCGACTGGAATACTTCAACTATTTGGTGAAAGCTGTTTTATTTGCTAAGAACTTTAAACAGGCTTATTTTAACGATATTAATATTTCTTTTCAACAATGATTTAATAGGTCACGCGGTGGCGTGCGTTACTGAAAGCGACGACACGTAAAGGCGTCAGATGATACTTTCTGTCCCTTGCTGGTTAAATCAAAATGGCTGCAACACAGGTAACAGCAAGCGATTGTCCCAACGACGAGATGCAATTGAACGAATCACATAAAGGCGAATCTGCAAGTTCTAAACTAAAGCGAACACTGCCGGTAGGGAGATATTACTCACAATATCAATTCATGATTTCTTCCGCTTTTCTCGAATCACTTTGCAGGATTCTAACACAGAATTTCGTCTTCATTTGACTTTAAAGTTTAGTTAGTTTGATAGGAAATAGATTTAAAGGGAAAAAAACATTAGGGTTTTTTAGAAAGTGGAAGACACCGAGACCGACGTCACCGAAACCGGTACTAACCGCTCATGTGCATGACTTACATTCAGGAAATACATTCATGCCTGAGCGGAAAAATATGAACAACCAACAAAGATCTTTTAGAATGAACAAGAAAGTTTGATATTGGGTGGGTTTCCACTACCTATTTTAACATTTTGGTATATTAAAGGGCCCTGATATCCTAACAATGCTACAGTAGGGTATAACCTCGTTGTAACCTCCAGCCCATTGCCCTCGTTGTAACACGAGTATACATCTCGAGGTCACGCTGCTATTTATCTTCTTCACAGGGTACAGATCATGGAAAAACCGTCAACGTGGCCGTGTCGTCGAGAGCACTTTTCAATCTTGAAGAAGAAAATGATTTGTTTGAAGCACAAGGTCTTGAAAATTACATCAAACTTCAAGTAGAAAGAGAAGACAAGCTTCTCAAGCCTGGCGCAGCATTCCCATTCATCAAGGTCAGTGATTTCAGCACTCGACGACAAAAATTTGTCTACTTTCAAGGGTATTTTCCTGTGTATTTTCTTTACAATTCATTTAGTTTTAAGTCAGATTACTGAAACCTTCATAATAATATTATCTCTCAAAACATCGTATTTTATTTTTCTCTGACGTTAATTTCACTTTCACTTTCATTATTCAATTTTTCATTTCATTGTCAGTTTCTCAGCACCACGTGACTCAATACTTATGAAGCGTTTTTATGATATTATTGTAATGTTTAAGGCGCTTGAAAATGTCAATGCCAAATTGAAAGAACGAGATCCACATGAAAAAGAAATTTTTGCCATTGTTTTGATGTCACACAACAATGCACAAGTTGGAATAAGACTGCAGAAGTCCATCGACCACCATGGTAAATATGCCCTTTTCTACTTAACAAATCGAAATCGCTTTTCTATGGTCTGTACGCTTATCGATAGTGAAAATGACGTCAGAAAATGATCAAAACTCAAGTGGAACCACGAGCGTAGGTATTCGACTATAAAAATTACCCTAATTAGGTCCATCCAATAGTCCACTTGTATATTCTGGTCGAATAGTCTATTCAAATTGGACTACCTTGAAAAGTGACATTTCAGCCCCCAGAATGTACTCCGCCCACTTTCAATACGTTAGCCCACCCTCCTTTAGTCCACCTGGCTGCATAAAGGAAATATATATATATACGACGCGCATCCTTATCTAGTTTGCTACTTACAAAGTAACTGCTTTCTTCGCTGCGCATATGTGATTTCGCAGCTTGATATAGCGCCTGTCTGTCCATCTTCTTGTACACATCAGGACTTCTCTCTCCTCTGTCCGTCTACTTGCACGTCTGTCTGTTTGCCTTCAGGTCTCATTATTACAAGGATGGCATTAACTGGTGGAACAAGTCCCGTTGAGTACCTTAAAGCTTTCAATATCACTCTCTTCTTAACATCGTACGAAAATGAAGTCACAGATGCCATCCGAAGAGGTACCAATCTGTTATATAGTGAGTCGAAAAATTATAACTTGAATTTGCAAGAGGCAAACATATTAAAATGGGAGTTACTGTTCTTTGTAGGTTTCCCGTCAGCGGTGATGTCTCTTCAGCCAATGAACTCGCCAAGCGAGACACAACTACGTATCGCCTTTGACCTGGATGCTGTGCTGTTTTCTGACGAGTCAGAACGAATCTTTAAAGAACAGGGACTTGACGCATTCTTGGAGCACGAAATACAGGAAAGACATATTCCTCTATCAGAGGTTAGTCTGCAATATCCTCTAGCAAAAACGGCGCGCGCGGGACGGTGATCGTGACACGGAAAAATTCAAGTTTACCGCGAAAACTAAAAAGACTGAAAAAATCCTTCTTGATTAACAATTGAAACGCAAAAGGGACGACCCCATCATGCACACCTCAATCGCACAACACCTAAGAGAGAAGGATATTAAAGGTCTACTACAGTAACATTTTGCATCGCTTATCGAGAGAGTGCGCGTGTGTTAGATAGTGTCAAACCATAGATGATTCGCATTGATATCTATAAAAACAGTGTATATCTCATTTTCATGCAGGGACCACTAAAACCGTTCGCCGAAGCCATCGGGCGGATGCAGAAGAAGTTTGACCGATCCCAACAGGACTCTTGCCCAATAAGAACATACATAGTGACGTCACGGGACGCAATGGTTGGTCAGCGGGCTTTGCTGACATTACGTCACTGGGGCTTGGAAATCGACGAATGTTTCTTTATGGCTGGAGCACCAAAGGATGGCGTCTTGAAGGCGATAAATCCACACATTTTCTTTGACGATCAAATATCCCACGTTCATCGAGCACGCGAAAAGGGAACACCATCCGGTCACGTGACTCATGGGATCACTCGCGAGTACGACGCGAAGAAGAGGGAAAGCGCGAAAAAATCCCTCGGCTTTTAATTTGCATATGTTGCCATAGTAAGAGAAGTCCTGGCCAAACCTGCAACCATTTTTAGGGGTATGATGATAACGAACGGTCTTCACCTCTATCATGAATCAATTTTGTAATTACAAATAATTCTATTGAATGGCATTTAGCTTTATAAGCTCTGTATTTATGATGAGAAACCAAGTCTTAATACGGGGAAAATGGCTCCCTTCTTTTCCCGGTTGCTTTGGTCTTGTTCCTACTGTATATCGCAAAATATTTCAATCTATTCGAATCACTATTTTCAATTATTACCATTTATTAAGAAAAACTGAAATAAAAAAATACAACAAACAAAAAAAAAGGAATTGTTTTTTCTATATTAAAGACTCACGAGCACCCAAGAACCTTTGCGCGATTTTCTCACATACGAATAACCGCCATCTTTGATTTGAATCAGGCAAAAAGAAATAAATTTCTGAACATCAGATCTTGATGATCACAACGATATTTAAATTGAAGATGATAAGTTATTACAAAATGACAAAATCACAGTTTGTGCAAAAAATTATAATAAACAATATAATAAGTATTACATATTTGCATTCATGCACGCAGACTGTGAAACTAGTACAAATTTCCGAATGAAATCAGAGTACAGAATATTAACTTTTATGAGCAAAATAGTTACGAATAAGCTCTCGAATGTGGTTGGGCATAGCCTGAGTATCAGGCTCTCTCTCTAGTCTGATACTCAGGCTAGGTTGGGCAACAATCCTCGCGAAATCCTGTAAAAGGCTCGGGATAATAAATAATATGTTAAAATCATACAAATAAATAAGGACTGACCTTTATCCAGTGCAAAACTACTTGGTTTACTGATCACTGTCTTTAATACTATAATCATTTGCTGTACAAACCTGATCTTATTTCTATACAAAAACATTTCTTTAAGATAATTATTCCATTGAATCTTAAGCTCCAGCGCATCAGATAAAAATATCATTATAACAGTATCAATTGATTGATGAAAATATTTACTGATTCATTGTTTAATATCGCAAATAAACTCTCTAGTAAAACACGTCTAGTTTCGTGTTCTTTTAACAATAGTTTCCTCCGCTTTTTCTTCTGCAATGAAGATTGACCTTCATACTGATTCAGTCAAGATATTATGATTTGTGTAACCGCTATGTCTCAATTATGAGTATTGCGGGCACACAAGACCTCTAGTAGGGTGCAAAATACACAGCACAACATCATTGAAGCAACAACTAACATCGTAAACCGCTCACTCATGTTGCAACTAATAAGGTATGCTGAGCGGGAATGTTGTACATGGATAATCTTTCGTTCATTGCAAAATATTGGGTCAATGATGTTCGGCTGTGTTGCGTCCGTTAGTGCAGGTTTTAAAGCTAATACGAAAATGCACATTTGTGTTCATTATTCCCATTATGCCTTACAACCAAACCTCCATATGACGACCGATGGACACCTTTACAAATGACCTTAACTCTACAAAACGACCACGCGACATTGTATGGCACAAATGATCCTGAGATTAGCGTGAAATTTTTCATTGCGTGTTTTAGTGGAATAAATATTCTGAAATTGCCATGTATGTACAAATGTATGGCGATAAATTATTCACTCAAAATTTACCCAGTGTGACGGCTGGGGAGAACTTGTCGAGTTGAAGTTACAATCTTCGGAAGTTGACGATCCAGTATCGATTAACGATACTTGTGTTTGATTGGTTGATGAATTCTTCGGCTTATTTACAAGCTGCAGTGAATTCGATAAGTCTTCGTGTAACATCGCTGAATTTGCGGCGCTTTGACCGGTCATCGTAAGACCGTCGATTAACGTCGGTGAATGTTCGGTATTCTTCGATCCACTTGCTGACGAAGTAATTTCTGAATTAATTTTTGATATCCGACTCTGCCATTCAGGGAAAAACATCTGACAATCAGGTCCAAGTGAGTCTATGATATCTTTCTGTAAGTCTATAGGGATTGGTTTTAATGGTGTCAATAAACACTCAGATGGTGATCCTGGTGAATTTAACGCTGAGCTGACAGACGACGATGAACTCTTTTTCTTTACTGATGGTCGAGGAGGAATAGCTGGTCGGTTTGGCTGAGACGACCGACGTGGTGGTCGATCTGGAAGAGGTGATGGTTGCTTACTAACTTCTTTATCTTTTGTAGAAATCACTTGATCGATATGTTCGTCACTTAGAGCTTCAGCGAGATCCAGTAGCGTGTTGTGTTTGTTGCTCTTTTCAAAGAACAAAAAGATGAAATATATTATAAACAGGCACACAAACACGTTAACAAATGATGAATAAATGACTTACAATTAAGGTCAAAATATATCAATGAATAAAGACATAAGTATACTCATCAACAAAGAAACAAATAAAACACCATTATGTACACCATCATGATTACAATATCCTTCGTGAAGATGAAATGCGGATTTGGGCGATATTATATTTAAGTATTTTATTATGATAATATTCACTCACATCACTACTAGCATCATCTGCCTTGTGATCTTCATCTAATGACACAAGTGTTGCTACTGGAGGCTCTACTGAAAGGTTCGGTGTACTGTGCCGTGAGTACAGTTGTTTCCCTGTACTGTCACCATCAATCAGTAATGACATGGCGTTCGTTCTATCGCGTACGTTCTTCTTAGGGGGTGGGGGTCGCTGTGGTCGGACTTTACGATCGCCATCTTGATGAAAACTGTGCGCTTTTCTTGCCTGTTGAGAGAATAGTAGATCTTGGTTGATCACATTCATAGAAGTAAACGAAGATGGGTTACTGTAGGTGATTTGCTCTAGCAGTCGTTATCATAGCATCATCATGGTCAATCATGGTCAATCATGACTATCATCACTGTCTTGTTCGCTTTTAGAAATCACTTGATTGGTGAAGAGTAAATTATACAATGCAAAAGGATAGAAAATGTAACTAACGTTTTGGAGGTCCGACGTCCGAGGGGGGAACTTGGGTTCCGTCAAAAACGAATTTTTCTGCTGTTGCACAAACTCCCTCAGTCATGTTGAGGAAGACAGGGAGCCCAAGAGTGGAACGCCTGCGTAGGAGGCTAGCGTATAACTCCAAATTGTTTCTTACTGGGGAAATCACTTTTGATTGATGCAGTCAATAATTCTTGTACTGTACTTTAGTTAGTTTAATATCTATTTACCATGATACTAACCTGTGGTTGTGGTGAAAGAGCTCTTCTTCTATTTATCGGTGATATTCTTGCACCTATTCCATAATGCTTCATATACGGTAAGGAATTTGACTTTTTGATTTCTCCTCCAATTTCCTCGTCGTCCTGCCCCAAGAAAACGCCATTGTAATGTTGAATTCACTTAAGGAGCATGTGTATTTATGTTTAATTTCATCTTTTACGACAATTCACTTTCTTACCTTTCCTTTCAACATTTCTTCAATATTGCCTTTCATTTGGTTCAAATTCTTTTTGGCTTCTTTACCAAATTCTTTTAGATTTTGTTTTATTTCGTGACCTCCTTCTTTGGCGATTTTCTTTGCTCCTCTCTACAACAAAACGTACCAGTACAAACTTTTACATCATCGTTTAAGGCCTAACACAACATAACCACATTACACAACATGACAACATTACACAACATAATCACATTACACAACATGACAACATTACACAACATAACCACATTACACAACATAACCACATTACACAACATAACCATATTACACAACATAACCACATTACACAACATAACCACATTACACAACATAACTACATTACACAACATAACTACATTACACAACATAACCACATTACACAACATGACAACACAACACAACAAATGATAACAAAACACAAAGTACAGCACAAAGTACACGTAGGGATGGGAAATAAAAACTTCATACCATCCACATTTTATACTGATGCTTGAGTTTCTTTTGGTCTGAAGATAAACGAAATATGTGTTAAAAAGCAAATAATTCAGACAACATTTTAGGATAGTTTGCATTGAAGAGTTTGTTTGATAAGCTATGGTCTTCAATTTTCTGCTTCTTTAATTTATACAATTTTTTTTTCATTTCTTTTCTTGTAAATAATATGCACCTTCAGCTTGTAGTCCAATCTGTTCCTCAAATAAGTCATTGAATCCTTGACCAGAGTTCAACAGCTCCAGTCTTTCTGAGATAAACTAAAAGAAATAAAAAATCATTGAATTAATGGTAGAAGAATTTTCTTCTCCTTTTGTGTGATAAAGAGTCAAAGGCCCAACAGAAGTAAAGAGGATTTTAGCATACTTGTTCAAAAAGCTGCAAATGTAAAACCGACTGAAGGAATTGCCTTTTATCTTGGCTTTTTGACTCAACAAAACTGCAAAAGAAATAAGTGGAAGATAGTTTGACTAAAAAGAACTAATAAAGTTGACTATTGATTAAACAAATTTGATGAAATAATGAAGTCAGGTTTATATGTAAAACAACTTACACATCTTTGTCAAACACAATTTTTTCACCCTACAAAACAAAGTTATGTCAAAGTTAATGAAATAGCCTATCTTTTATTCATTGGAAGGATCTTAAAGCAAAAATAACAACATCTAACAAGCTTGCCAAGAATAACAAGGAATATATATAAAGCACTTACAGTTTTAAACCTCAAGGCATCTCTGTAGCTACCAACAAGGGAAACCATTGCAGAGAGAAATGCTTTTGATACACGGTCATGGATTGGAAGATCAAGCTTCTTGAGTGTACTTTTAAGATCTGATATCTGATAATAAAATAAGTGAATAAATGAATGAAAGAACAGAATGATGAATTACAGGTGAATAAATGAACAAATGGGCAAATAAGGAAAGGGATTGATAGGTGGAAAGATTGATGAAGGAGTGAATAAACAAGAGATGTTGAGCAAAGAATGTACCAACAGATGAATGAATGAATAAATGGGATGGCTAAATGAATAAAAAGATGGATATATGGATTGGATAAGTCAGGGAGAAAGACTCAAAACACAAATTATACTTACCACCCCCAATGGCAACAATGCTGCATCTTTGAAAGGACATTCTACTTCATTTGTGTCAGCATTCAAGATAACAACTTCATCCAAAGGCATCTTCCTGACACTCTAAAAATGATGATTTAATACAATTCAATGTAAAAACAGAGATTCATCCTCCTAGTGCTACATGGTGCACATATTTAAATATAATGCAATGTTTCACTTACAGGCATAAGAGATGAATGCACTCCAGCAAGAAATGGCATTGGGGCACTGAAAAAAATATTAAAAAAAAACATTTGTAAAGCTATATTGGCAAGGTAACCCAAGCAGCAAGAGATCTCCACAGGGAGCCCAGGAACACATACCAGCAGTAATCTAGAAGATGAGGAGGCACAATGGGAACAAACATGTGCTGCCTGAAATAATAAATATATATGCTACCATCACTAATGGTATAGAACTT